CCAATTATCTCAATACCATTTGTTCAGAAGATTCCCCTTTCTTCCATTGAATGGTCATTGCATTCTTACTGAAAATCATTAGACCATATATGCAAAGGTTTATTTCAGGGCTACCTATTTTTTCCCACTGGAAAATTTCACTTTCTTATTTTGTTAATTTGTTTCCCAAGTAAAATATCAATTTTGAAGAAGGTACAACAAGGCACTGGTGTAAAATTCCGTATTTTTATCTTAGCTTCTATTAAAAGGAAGTGAGAATTCAAAATTTTTCTTTAACTGCCTATAATTATAAAGAAAATAATATTGATGGAGGAGGACATTTTACAATTCTTAATCAGACAAATGCAAAGAAACATAGAACACTAGCTTCTAATGATGTTGCTGATATTGATCATGTTAATTAAATCTCATAGTACAACTCTTCAAATAATGATATCAAAATTTGCCTTCAATTCAAGAATAAATGAGTAAATAGAATATTTCTAATGACAAGCAAGAAGTATGGTATTCTCATCCAGAAAGTTATACTTCAGCATCCAATACTTGGAATATTTTTTATTGCAAACAAGGTTTAGGATAATATTCTTTCATCTTTTACAGTATTTGAACAAGAACATTTATTTGATATGATTTGCCAGTGGACAAATGTGTATGCAAAGTTGACTGGAAGGAGTTAGATGATGTAGGAGTGATCAACATTATGAATAATTATTTTAAGGGTGTTTATATCAAAATAAAAATATATTCGATTATAGTACAACATCATTTACAATTGCTAAAAAGAAGATAAAATAACAAATATAAAATAGTAAAACATGTAGAGTATCTGATGAAGATTAAAAATTCTGATGAAGGAAATCAAAGAAGGCCTAAAAAAATGGAGAATCATACTATGTGTTATTGGAAGATTTAGTAATAAAAAGCAAAGATGTAAAATCTTCCTAAATTGATTCTTAGGTTTAACACAATTTATAACAGCAGGATTTTTAAATAAACATAGACAAGCTTATTCTAAAGTGTATAAGGAAAGAGACCCTAGAGTAGCCAAAACAATTCTGTAAAAGAATAAAGTAGGAGGATCTTATTTTCCCAATGTTAAAGATTACTGTACAGCAACAATAACGAAAACAGCATAGCAATTGTGGAAAAAATGACACACAAAGCAATGGAAAACAGTATAAATAACTGAGAAATATACCAACACAAAAATGTCCAATTAATTTTTTTATGATGTGCAAAAACAATTCAATGTATGAAGGTAGTTTTTTCAAAGAATTATGGTGGAGCAGTTGGATACCCATTAATAAAAAATTTAATCTCCCATCCTTTACAAAATGTAATTCAAAACAGATCCATAGACTTAAAAGTAAGACACAAAATTAACACCTTTTAGAAACAGAGAGAGAAGGAGGCAAACATAAGAGACTCTTAAATACAGATAACAAACTGAGGGTTGATGGGGGTGAGGGAGAAGGGAAAGTGAGTGATGGACATTGAGGAGGGCACTTGTTGGGATGAGCGCTGGGTGTTGTATGTAAGCTAATTTGATAATAAATTATATTAAATAAACTAAAATAGAAATATTGTGGCAGAAAATTCAGGATTTAAGGTTAACAAAGAGTTCATACACTTGACACCAAAAGCATGATCCAAAAATGAAAAAAAGGACAACTTATCAAAATGAATATATTTTTTAAAAAATTGGGTCTGCAAAAAACAATTACAGAACTGAAGAAAATATGTTAAGATTACATATCCAACGAAATACATGTACCTAGAAAAAATTTTTTTTAATCTGAAAACTCGACACTTAAAAAACACAATCTAATTAGAAAATGGGCAAAAAATATGAGTAGACTTTTCACTGAAGAGGATTTTTAGATGCCAAATAAAGACATTAAAGATAGTCAACATCATTACCTACTAGGGGAGTTCAAAATGAGTCCATTATAAGATATTAATACATAGCTAATAGACTGGCTAAAAAAATGATATCATCAAATGTTGACAAGGATGCCAATAAACTGGATCATTTATATATTACTGTTGGGAATGTCAAATGTTACAGCCACTCTGAAAATAGTTTGGTAGTTGCCTATAAAACCAAAAATTACTTGGGGAGCCTGGTTGGTTTAGTCGGTTGAGCATCTGACTTCGGCTCAGGTCAGGATCTCACAGTTCGTGGGTTCAAGCCCCGCGTTGGGCTCTGTGCTGACAGGCAGCTGAGAGCCTGGAGCCTGTTTCAGATTCTGTGTCTCCCTCTCTCTCTGACCCTCCCCTGCTCATTCTGTCTCTCTCTCTCTCTCTCTGTCTCAGAAATAAATAAAACATTTAAAAACTTTAAAAAAAAACTATAAATGACTTATCATTCACTCAGTAATGTAATTTTGGGATGTTTCCTAGGGAATTAAAATTTTACGTTCATGCATAATTTTCTATGCAAATTATCATTGCAGATCTATTCATAATTAGCTAAAAATTGGCAACCACCCAAATTTCCTTCAGTGAGTAAATAATTAGACAAATTTTGATACATCCATACAAAGGAATACTAGTCATCAGTAAAAAGAAATAAAGTATACATGCAACAACTTGGATGCAGTCATGGAAATTATGCAAAAGAAAGAAGTCAATCTCCAAGAGATACAAACTCTATGATTCCATTTATATAATATTCATGAAATAATATAGTTAGAGAGATAGCAGTTTAGTGGTTGCCATGAGCTAAAAATGACAGAAAGAAGGGATCAATGTAGCTACATAAAAGGGTAATATTAGGGTCCATATAGTGATGATAGAGTTTTGTATCTTGATTGTGCCGGTGGTTACACAAATTTGAACATGAGGTAAAACTGCATAGAACTAAATACACACACTTGTGCACTCATGCACATATACACATACACAAATGAGTGCATGTATTCTGGTGAAATCTAGATAAGGTCTGTACATTTTATTAATGTCCATTGCATGGATTTGATATTGTACTATGGTACTGAATTATGGTAACACGAGTACAAAGCACTTCTCTCTGCATTTCTTTCCAACTTTTTATGAATCTATAATTATTTCAACATAAAAAGTTAAATGGAAATCACAATGAAATATCACCACACATCTACAACTGGCAAAACCAAACCAAACCCCCCCCCAAAAAAAATGACAATATCAAATGCTTGTGAAGTGTGGATCATTTATGCAGAGAAATTGGTAATCTCATAGATGAATAGATAGAAAACAAGTGGTACAGACACTTTGGATAATAGTTTAGCTGTTTCTTATAAAATTAAAAATACGCTTATTAAAAAAATGCACTTAGTAAATGACTCAGCATTCTCATTCTTAGATATTTGTCCCATAGTGAGAACTTATATATACACAAAGCCTATGAGCATATGTTCATAGTATCTTTATTCATAATAGCCCAAATCAAGAAACAACCAAAATACCTTTCAATGGCTGAATGTATAAGCAAATTATATCCTTTCTACATAGAATCCTACTGAACAATAAAAGAATGAACTCTTAAAACATATGACAACAGGAATGGTTCTGAAATGCATATGTACTTAATATGACATTCTGGAAAAGGCCAATCTATAGGGACAAGGGGCAGCCAGGAGGAAGTTTTGAGGTGACTATGGTGTTGGGAACTAGAGCCTGTGTGTCTTTTTCAATATCCATTGAACTGTATACGACAGAGTGAATGTTCCTGTATATAAACTTCTTAAAAACCAGCACACTTAATAAAAACAAAATATAAGAGCTTAAGGCTGATTTTTTCCAAAATTATCAAAAATATATCAATATATACATTTAAGAATCTCAGCCAACCTGAGCAGGATAAATTAAAAGAGAAACACATCTTGGTAAATCATACTGAAACTTATTTAAAACATGCCTGAAACTCAGACAAAGAATAGGAGAAACATTATATAAATGGGATGAATGATAAGACAGATACTGTAGTCTCATCAGAAAATGTAAGCTAAGATACAAATGTATTACATCTTTGAATTGCTGAAAGTAAAAATACCCAATGTACTAGTCTACTTCCAGTGAAAATACACTTCACAATTTTAGACATTTTTATAAAAACATTTTGAAGATAACAGCTGAGGCTGTTGGTTGCTGCAAGGTACAAATAAAAAGAAAGACAAAAGGAAGTTTTTCAGTGAAGGAATACGATGCACATGGAAATTTGAAAGTACTGGAAGAGTTAAAAAAAAAAACCTGAAAACAGTAAATGTAAATATTTATATTAAAAAATCTTTAACATTCTATTAGCTATTTAAACAAATATAATAATGTATTACCCAGTTAACTATAAATATATATATAGTTATATATAATTACAAAAGTGCAAATGATAGAAAGACATTAATGGAATTATACTGTTATGAGATTTTTACATTTTAATATTTAGAAAAAATGAATACACTATATTTTTCATGAATGTTCACCAAATAAATGTTAAAATATTTCATACCATTTACTATCCATATACTATGGATATAGATTTTATTCCCTTTACCTTTCAATAGTATGGTTAACTAAAGATGCAACTTGGTTGTGAATTAGCACATCACAATAGTTAACATCCTTGGAATATATAAATACATAATAAAACTATCATCTCTTCTGTAGTTTAGCCATACATATCTAGAAAACTCTGCTATATAAACAGAAATGTTTTGGGAACCATGGTTAAAATTAAAGGAAGGGCTATTAGCATGCTCACTCCTTGATTGGAACTAAAAAGTATATACAAATTTTGATTGACAGTATGATCTAGAGCTGTACTGTTATCCTTGCCACTAGCCACACTAGCTTCTTAAATTTTTATTAAATAAAGTAAATAAAATAAAATAAAATAAAATGGAAATTATATTTCTTTAGTTGCAGTATTCATATGTCAGGTGCTCAATAACCGCATAGTCAGTGAAAACCATTTCTATAAGTACACAAAACTACTGAAGCACACTCATCTAGATACTAACCTTCTGGAAGCCAATACCCATCATTATAACTTCCTCCTGGTGATGATGGTTTTGGATAACAATTTGGAGGAGAATATCCAACATCACAGTGACAATTAAACATATTATTGCAAACCTAAAACCAGAACCAAACAGAAAATAAGAACACTTTATGTACATGGTAAAAATTAAATGCATTATTTGTGACAGTTAGATAATGTAAGTGATTAAAATATGATAATTTCCCATATTTTAGGTAGCTTTGATTGTATTTTCATGTGGAAAATAATTTTTAAAATAAAATCTAATATATAAATGTCAATGAAATATCTTTTCAATGTCATAGATACTTTCTCTTATTGGTCTCTTGTGTTTTGAAATAAAAATAGATAACATTCTGATACAACTGAAATGCATTCTTCTAAAAAGTTATAGAGGGGGAAGAAAAAAACATGGCAGAGAAGAAGGGGGCTCCATACTTCCTGCCCTCATCTCTCAAACAACGAAGGGCTGAAGCCAAAGGACTCCGAACCCCAAGAGTCTGGGAGGAAAGGAGATGGAGTCTATTAGGAAGACAACCTCATAGGTGCGTGATTGCAAACTGGGGGACATAAAAATAGGCTGGGACATGGAGGCACAGAGGGGAGGGATCTCCTTCTGCAGAGAGACAAAGGGAAGAGAAAGAGCTGCTGGGGATATGCAAGACTATAACTGAACAAGATAAAAACTTTGACCCAGGATGGAGAGGAATCCTATCATCCCATCTTTAACTGCAGGGCTTTCAGAGAGAGATCCCATCTCTAACTGTGGGGCTTTCTTTGGACTGTTTGCCCTGTTCTCGTCCCAGGGGACAAGGGGCATTCCCTCCAGGTTCAGGGGTACCTCAGGGGCACAATAGGCACTGGGAGGAACTGGTTCCCTGCCCTGAAGTGCTGTGGCTCTGGATTACATTTCAGGGGCCATCATTAACATGCGCGGAGTGAGAGCTTGGAACCTGGCTGGGCTGGGCATGGGACATAGGAGATGGCCCACCTCATCTGTGCCCACAGCACAGTGAGGATGGATCCAAAGGAGTGATTTGGGATACCTGGTCCTAGGAGAAGGGATTAGGGTGTCACCATTTTTCTCCCCACAACTACCAAGGCGAGGCCTCAAGGATTTGTAGGAGGGGCCCACAGTGAAGGCAGGACCCGTCTACACCAAACCACGCCCATCTGTGCTGGGTAGCTACTTTTTTTACAGAAGCCAGATAGATACTGTGGAAACAGATGGCCTCCTCTCCCAAGACCAGCACTGCTGCATTGCCATGATTAACTCTAAGTCAGTTCTTGCTATTCATATATATTCTTCCTATTCTCATTCTTATCTCTCACAAAAAAATTGTGAACAGGTCAATGAAGCCAAGAGAAGATTTTTTGAAAAAAATAAACAAAATTGATAAACGTCTAGCCAGGCTTCTCAAAAAAGAAAAGAGAGAGCACCCAAATAGACAAAATCACAAATTAAAATAGATTTATTATAACCAATCCATCAGAATACAAGACATTGTCAGAGAATATTATGAAAACTTATATGCCAACAAACTGGACAACTAGAAGAAATGGTCAAATTCCTAAACACCCACACACTATCAAAACTCAAACAGGAAGAAATAGAAAAGCTGAACAGACCTATAACTAGTGAAGAAATTGAATCAGTTATCAAAAATCTCCCAACAAATAAAAGCCTTGACCAGATGACTTCCTTGGGGAATTCTACCATACATTTAAAACAGAGTTAATACCCATTCTTCTCAAGCTGTTCCAAAAAATATAAAGGGAAGGAAAACCTCTGGACTCATTCTACAAAGCCAGCATCACTTTGATTCCCAAACCAGACAGAGATCCAGCGGAAAAAGAGAACTAAGGCCAATATCCCTGATTAATATGGATGCAAAAATCCTCAACAAAACACTAGCAAATCGAATTCAACAGCATATAAAAAGAATTATCCACCATGATCAAGTGGGATTCATTCCTGGGTTACAGGCCTGGTTTAATATTCACAAATCATTCAATGTGATTGATCACATTAACAAAAGAAAAGATAAAAACCATATGATCCTGTCAATAGATGCAGAAAAAGCATTTGACAAAATACAGCATCCTTTCTTAATAAAAACCCTCAAGAAAGTCAGGATAGAAGGAACATACTTAAACATCATAAATGCCATTTATGAAAAGCCCATAGCTAATATCATGTTCAATGGGGAAAAACTGAGAACATTCCCTCTGAGATCAGGAACATGGCAGGGATTTCTACTCTCATCACTGTTGTTGAACAGAGTGCTGGAAGTCCTAGCATCAGCAATCAGACAACAAAAGGAAATAAAAGACATCAAAATTGGCAAAGATGAAGTCAAACTTTCACTTTTCACAGATGACATGATATTCTACATGGAAAATCTGACAGAAGAAAATCCATCAGAAGTCTGATGTAGTAGAATAGTCTACTAGTCCATGAATTCAACAACATCGCAGAGTACAAAATCAACAAACAGAAACCGGTTGCATTTTTATACACCAATAATGAAGCAACAGAAAGAGAAATAAAGCAACTGATCCCATTCACAATTGCACAAAAAAACATAAAATACCTAGGAATAAACCTAACCAAAGATATAAAAGATCTGTATATTGAAAACTACAGGAAACTATGAAGGAAATTGAAGAAGACACAAAGAATTGGAAAAACAGTCCATGCTCATGGATTAGAGGAATAAATACTGTTAAAATGTCAATATTACCTAAAGCAAACTACACATTCAATGCAATCCCAATCAAAATTGCACCAGCATTATTATAAAAACAAGAAAAAACAATCCTAAAATTTGTATGGAACCACAAAAGACCCCAAATAGCCAAAGTAATACTAAAGAATAAAACCAAAACGGGAGACATCACTATTCCAGACTTTAGCCTCTACTACAAAGCTGTCATCATCAAGACAGTATGGTATTGGCACAAAAACAGACACGTAGACCAGTGGAATAGGACAGAGAACTCAGAATTGGACCCACAAATGTATGGCCAACTAATCTTTGACAAAGCAGAGAAGAGCATCCAATGGAAAATAGCCTCTTTAACAGATGGTGCTGGGAGAACTGGACAGCAACATGCAGAAAAATGAAACTAGATCACTGTCTCACACCATACACAAAAATAAACTCAAAATGGATGAAGGACCTGAATGTGAGACAGAAAAACCGTCAAATCCCTAGAGCAGAAAGTAAGAAACAACCACTTTGACCTCAGCTGCAGCAATTTCTTACTTGACACATCTCCAAAGGCAAGGGAATCAAAAGTAAAAATGAACTATTGGGACCTCATCAGGATAAAAAGCTTTTGCACGGCAAGGGAAACAATAAACAAAACTGATAGGCAACCGACAGAATGGGAGAAGATAGTTGCAAATGACATATCAGATAAAGGGCTAATATCCAAAATCTATAAGGAACTCACCAAACTCCACACCTGAGAAATAAATAATCCAGTGAAGAAATGGGCAGAAGACATGAACAGACAGTTCTCCAAAGAGGACATCCAGAGGGCCACAGACACATGAAATGATGCTCAGCGTCACTCATCATCAGGTAAATACAAATCGAAACCACACTGACATACTACCTCACACTGGTCAAAGTGGCTAAAATGAACAAATTAGGAGACTATAGATAGTGGCAAGGATGTGGAGAAATGGGCACCCTCTTACACTGTCAGTGGGAATGTAAACTGGTGCAGCCTCTCTGGAAAACAGTGTGGAGGTTCCTCAAAAAATTAAAAGTAGAATTTCCCTATGACCTAGCAATAGCACTGCTAGGAATTTACCCAAGGGATACGGAAGTGCTGATGCATAGGAGCACATGTACCCCAATGTTCATAGCAGCGCTTTCAACAATAGCCAAATCATGGAAAGAGCCTAAATGTCTATCAACTGATAAAAGGATCAAGAAGATGTGGTTTATCTATACAGTGGAATACTACATGGCAATGAGAAAGAATGAAATCTGGCCATTCGTAGCAATGTCTATGGAACTCGAGGGTGTTATGCTAAGTGAAATAAGTCAGGAAGAGAAAGACAGAAACCATATGTTTCCACTCATATGTGGGTCAGGAGAAACTTAACAGAGGACCATAAGGGAGGTGAAGGGGAAAAAATAGTTAAGGAGAGGGAGGGAGGTAAACCATAAGAGACTCTTAAATACTGAGAACAAACAGGGTTGATGGGGGTTGAGGGAGAGGGGAAAATGGGTGATGGGCATGGAGGAAGGCACTTGTTGGGATGAGCACTCAGTGTTATATGAAAACCAACATGACAATAAACTATATTAAAAAAAGAAGTCCCTATACAAATTAATGTGCTACAATAAAGAACTGTAATACTATGTTTCTTATTTGGGTTTGTACAAATATGACCAAACAGTGTAAAAATAAATAAATAAATAAAAATAAAAATTATTGAAATTGTGAAGCTAGAAATAATAATGTGGGAGCTGACATATAATATGAATTGTGCTAGATTTTTAAAAAATGCCAACTTTTACCCAAAAAATGGGGGAAAACAAAAAGGAAAAAAAGCATGCTTAACCAGAAAAAGATACAAAATGTATTGTGCTAGAAATAGGAAAACTATAAAGTATCTATAAATATTATCTCGTGGATGAATCAAAAGGATCACAGCTAATGTCATCGTCATTGTTCCGAACGAGACAAGGATCTCCACTCTACCATTACTATTTAACATAGGACTGGAAGGCTTAGCCTCAGCAAACAGACAACAAAAAGCAATAAAAGGCATACAAATCTGCAAGGAAGAAGTCAAACTTTCACTATTTGTAGACACCATCATACTCGATGCAGAAAACCTCAATGACTCCAAGAAAAAATTGCTTAAAGAAATACATTTTATTCAGTAAAATCACAGGATAGAAAATCAATGTGCAGAAAACTGTTGCATTTCTATATACCAACAACAAAGAGGCAGAAAGAGAAATGAAGGAATCAATTCCATTTTCAAGTGTACCAAAAACAATAAGACATCTAGGAATAAATCTAACAAAAGAAGTAAAATATCTACACTCTAAAAGCTATAGAACACTTATGAAATAAATTGAAGAGGACACAAAGAAATGGAAAAGTACTCCATGCACGTGGATTGGAAGAACAAACATTGTTAAAATGTCTGTACTACCCAAAGCAGTTTACACATTTAATGTAATCTCTATCAAAATAACACCAGCATTTTTCACAGAGCTGAAACAAACAATCCTAAAATTTGTATGCAACCACAAAAGACCCCGAATAGTCAAAGCAATACTGAAAAAGAAAACCAAAACTGGAGGCATTACAATTCCAGATTTCAAGCTATATTACAAGACTGTAGCTATCAAGACATTGCTGGGACCCGCACCCACCTAGCTGGATGACAGTCACAGCAAGGAAATGGCAGTGTTGACACACATGGTAGCTCCTGCCATGAGAAATGAAAACTGGTATCTGGCTACTACTTCTGCTACTACTGGCTCATGTTGGAAATAAGCCTGCTGCTATTGACCAGGCCTCACAATATTCCAAATCAGACTGATATTCCCCACACAGATACCTCATAAGGAAAAGCATATTCATGCCTTTTCAAAAGAGATTTAAGATGAAAGCTCTGTGGATGATTGTCAAAGGCTCTTCCTATGGGCCTTGCAGATCCAAGACTTAGATAATAAAGGGAGTTAAGAACACAGGAGTTACAATCGAGCCTGGCCCCGAGACAAAGAGCCTAATTTATTGTTAAGGAACAGATAAGGGCAGAACTTAAGTTAATACTTACACCTTTTCTAACTGGTGATGTATGGCAGTCCCTTCCCTAAGGCCTACTTTCCGCAAACACCCTCCCTTACACTGGTGGCTGGGATGAGGATAGATAAGAGTAGCTAAAACATAACCCAAAAACAAAGGCCGACACATTTAGGGCCTCCATGGTGTTTACACATTCAGCGTCAAGTCAAAAAGGTTTCCACAAACAACTTATTAACCAGTTCAAAAACATTCATCCTTTTGTGAGCCAGACAGAATGACTCCTAGCCTATCTGTATACAACTTAGCCTATGTCCTAATCCTAGTGTTACTAACTTAGAACAAATATGTATGTCATCCTGTTTTGCACTAAGAACATCCTGTTATTTCCTTAGCTGTAAGATGTACTCAACCTCACTATGATTGGGGTGATTCTGCAAGAATACTTCCGAAAAACCTGTTCTTCTATGCTTTTCAAAGCATCTTATCACAAAGAGTTTTCCATTGTAAAAATTCCTTTTTTTGATCTCATGTTGTCATTGGACCTTTAAATAAAGACACAAAAACCGACAGGACAGAGATGCCTGCCTGGTGACCAGAAAGAATCTCGGGGTCTCTCATCCCTCCCTCGTTGACACCGTCCATCCTTCAGGGACCCCTGGACCTGCTGGAGCTGGTCTCCGGCGAGACATAATGGCAGTGGCACCAAAAACAGACACATAGATCAATGGAGCAGAATAAAAATCCCAGAAATGGACCCACAACTATATGACAACTAGATTGTCAACGAATCTTTGAGAAAACAGGAAAAGTATATTCAATCGAAAAAGTCTCCAGCAAATGGTGTTTGGAAATAAGACAGCTACGTGCAGAAGAATAAAACTGGGCGACACTTTCTTACACCGTACACAAAACAAATTCAAAATGGATGAAAGACCTAAATGTGAAACAGGAAACCATCAAAATCCTAAAGGATTTTGAAACCTCTTTGACCTTGGCTGGAGCAACTTCTGACTAGATGCTTCACCAAAAGCAAGGGAACAAAAGTGAACATGAACTATTGGGGCTTCAAATAATAAGCTTGTGCACATCAAAGAAAGCAATCAATAGAACCGAAAGACAGCTTACAGAATGGGAGAAGATATTTGCAAATGCTTTATCTGATAAAAGGTTAGTATCCAAAATCTATAGAGAACTTCTCAAACTCAACACCTAGAAAACAAATAATCCAGTGAAGAAATGGGCAGAAATATGAGTACTTTTCCAAAGAAGATATACAGATGGCTACAGACACATGAAAATATCACTCATCATAAGTGAAATACAAATCAAAACCATGATGGGATTACCACCTCACACCTGTCAGAATGGCTAAAAATAATTATAATTTATTATTGTAAATTAACAACAGTTTACCATGTGAGAAGACATTTTAAAAACTAAGAAGCTAGTCTCACCAGAATTTGAGAAAATGCACATTTTCATCCATAATAGGTGGGAGCAAAAATGGTACAATGTATCTTAAAAACACAGTATTTCTGAACATTTGAATGCTGCATAAGATTGGCCCATCTGATTTCATTGCTAGCAGTTTAAGAAATCAGATAATTGTACAAAGGTGAATGTACAGCAATGTTCATTACACCATTATTAACATTAGTCAAGTAAAACTTTATCATTATCTAAAAGTCCATCAGTAAATGGATTTTCAAATACAGCATGGAGGAGACATACAGGGAAATAAATTGAAGCCACTAAAGAATAAAAGATATCTGAATGGACACGGAACTGCTCTCACAAAAATACTAGATGATAAGTACTATATGTAGTATAAATAGATTAAGTGTGTATTTACATATATATCAGTACACATACATTGAATTATAAGTGAAATTTATATAAGCATGTATACAAGTATATTTGTAGTCTTCAATAAGCCCATTTCCAAAATTTCACACTCTTAATCTAACGTAATAACAAATTGTTTCATACTGCATTTCTGTACAAAGTTCACAATTTATTAGCTCATGAGACCTTTAATAATCTTAACACAGAAATCATGTACATAAGTATAAGCAATGGAGTCCATTTTCCTTATTTAACTGCAAGTTTCTAAAAGAAATTTCCATATCAAAAAATTCTGAACCTTATTACTATCCTGGAAAAAGCCACTAAGGGATTTTATACATTATGTGTAAAAATAGAGAAACTATTACATACCCCATGTCCACTGCAATTTATTACTGAGTCACAATTTGCTGTTACTGAGTGCTCACTTATATCAACACAGGATCCATTAAAACAATACTGAAATGTTAAAACAACCAACAAAAAATCTTTAAAGTCAAGAGTTGAGCAATTGTACTGGATACAGAAATTAGATGCACAAGATAGATACAGATACACACAAGCACACCAATCTGGATTTCACAACATCTACTTCTTCTAATAAAAGAAGTTGGGAGTCCAAATGGCATATAATTACTACATATAAAATTTTGAGAATGCAATACTACTTTTCCCTTGAGGGAACACAGTTGTGAGTTTATTGATACTAATTGGTGTGAGAACAAAAACAGCCAATTTGTACTGACTATTTGTAATGAGCTAGGGTCTGTCTTTGCATTTTCTATGCATTTTTATAATATATACTCAGATTGACCCTGTGAAAGAGATGTTTTTATCCTCATTTTAAATGTCTATTTATTTTTGAAAGAGAGAGCACAAGTTGGGGAGGGGCAAAGAGACAGAGGGAGACAAGAATCTGAAACAGGCTCCAGGCTCTGAGCTGTCAGCACAGAGCCCAAAGCCAGGCTGGAAACTGCAAACCATGAGATCATGACCTAAGCTGAAGTTGGATATTTAACTGACTAAGTCACCCAGGAGCCCCATCCTCATTTTATACTTGAAAAAAGTAAATATACTACTTTAAGGCATGCATGAGTTATTGACAGAGCTAATACTCAGTGCAGGAACTACTTTAGTCACAGAGCTTCATATTGATCACTGCTAAATATCAATGTTATCATTTTCATATTTATTTCCAACTTTAATGACAATATCTCTTATCTCTCACATCAACATGTGTTCTAGAGAAAGTTATTTAATCCCTCCATGACTCAGCTTATCTAACTTTGAATTTGGAACAGCAATTGATACAAATTTTTAAAATATAGGTTATAAGGATGAAATAATTTGCTAGACATAAGGAACAAAAGCAGTGCCTGGCACATAGTAAATGCTTACTAAACACAAAATATTTTTTTAAATTATCTGTTTATTCATTTTCATGTGGACTTTAAGTGCTTATTCCTCTACCCAAATTTTAATTTAATTTGAATATCTTTAGGGAAGTCTGTAAAAATTATATGTTGTCTTTTCTCAGGTTATCTGATAGAATATACACTGTATTATGAATAGTCTTAAAAAACATTATTTCCTATCACCGTTAATCAATCATCATCATGAAGGAAGGAATATCAGCTTGTTCAGTAACTGAACGTACTCTCATGAAGCCAGAAAGAATAACAAAATTTTGTACAAACCAGAATTGTCTGTCCACAAAACTATTTTCATTCTAGTGCTCCTTAAACACTGTCATTAAGGCAATAATAACTAGTCATATTTCATCGGGCTGTCTTTAGGGGGAAAAGCCAGGAAAGGTTAAGACCCATGCTTCTGATACAATTTCCTTCAAGTAAACGGATCAATTTGCAGCTGGCTCTTTTGGTTTTTTTGTTTGCTTGTTTGTTTTTTTAATGTTTTAGTTATTTCTGAGAGAAAGACAGCATGAGCAGGGGAGGGTCAGAGAGAGAGGGAGACACAGAATCTGAAACAGGCTCCAGGCTCTGAGCTGTCAGCACAGAGCCCGATGCGGGGCTCGAACCAACGAACCGAGAGATCATGACCTAAGCCAAAGTCAGAAGCTTAACTGACTGAGCCACCCAGGCGCCCCTGCAGCTGGTTTTTTTTGTAATGACAGTGAAAACAAGAGATGCTACAAAAGTAGTTAAGTCTGGGCAGTGGCTGAGATGATGTTTTGAATATAAACTAATATACAAACTTCCTTCTTTGAACAAGAGACACAAACAGTGTCCTAAAAGCAGTCACACCATGTTTCAAAGAAAAGAAAAACAATACGAGAAAATAAATATTTCCTAAGGAGAAATGCCTGGATTATATAAGCATATTTTCTTATAGTCCCAGGTAAGAAAAAGGGAGTTAATTTTATTCATTAACCCATTGATTCGCTTATCCAGTGTTGGATATTTAAATGTCCCAAATATACTCCTTTTCAAGTTTGAAATTAATGTGTTGAGATATATTCACTTCCCTAGCCTAGCTATGTGAACTAGAATCACTTCTCCTCTTCTACGTCTTATCAATAAAAAATCAGAAAGCTTTCTATCATATCCAATAATATTAAGCAAACTTGCATTGCTGGAATAATGTCTATCTCCATGCAGCATACTCTTCACCCGGTACAGAACAGTATTAAATATATGAGTGTTTTATTTAAAATTTCATTATGATTTATAAGGGAGATGTACTTTTCTTCCTGTTAATAAATAAGTTCTCCCTTCTCTGTTTCTTTTTATCTATCAAGATAATTTTTACAAAAGACCCACATTTAGTGAGAGTAAAGTAAAGAAGTCTTTCCTTTCCCATCATTCTGAAATCAACTGAACAAGGGAGAATAACAAATAAATAATTCCTTGATGAATTTTTCAAATAACCACAGAAAAATTCTAATTCACTCACAACAGCTCCCCTTTTCCTAATTAGTGTGAGTAAAGAAGCATCAGAAAGAGGCAATTTGAAAATGAAAGATTTAAGAACTTCCTGGGACTCTGAAACAAAAGAAGGCCACTGATGGATAAAATAAAGTGAGGAAGCCACATCATCAAATACAATGGTAAAGGAGAGAGCCTGGTTGATCAGTCTCAAATGTTCTGGATGAGCTGCAGCCTGAGTAATAGGAAAAGCAGAAGAAGAAGAGCCAAAAAGGGCAGGTAGGGAAAGGTGGCTAAAACGCAGAATTATCCATGGAAATCTGTCCACAAAACCATAGAATTAGCTCTCATATTCACTACTCACCTATCTTTTCCCTTAATTACAAAATGTAACACAACACTTTTTTAAAAAAAATTTTAAATGTTTTATTTATTTTTGAGACAGATAGAGACAGCGTGAGCAGGAGAGGGTCAGAGAGAGAGGGAGACACAGAATCCGAAAGAGGCTCCAGGCTCTGAGCTAGCGGTCAGCACAGAGCCTATGCGGGACTTGAACCCATGAACCGTGAGATCATGACCTGAGCTGAAGTCGGACGCTTAACCAACTGAGCCACCCAGGCGCCCACACAACACTTTTATCTCAAGGGAGAAAATTTAGAAAGGTATTTTGTTTCCTAAAGCAATTAAATTAATGGTGACTACAGAATGTGGGCTTTTCAAATGCTATCCAGTGAAGTATCATGACCTAAAAGCCAGTTTCCAAAATGAAGACTGTCATGTAACAAACCCCTGTCACATGGAAAAGGCTGCCAATTAAGGCTTTTGTTTTTTTAAATTTAATTAGAAATGGTGTGGGAGTAAAAAGTCATGCTAGCTTAAAGCTCCTACTGAACCAAGTAGAGACAAACAATCTTCCTTCCTCCCTTCCCTTCCCTTCCTTCTATTTCCTTCCTTCCTCATTCCCTTGTTTTCCCTCCATGGGGACATTGGCCAGTTGGGCATAGGCTAATGATCAGACTTTCCCAGGCAGAGAATCACTGCTAGAAAGATGAGTGATCTATAAAGCTTTTAGGGGTCATACAGCTGGTGGGACAAATCAGCACAGTAATCTTCTGTGGCATTTGTATGTCTGGTTCCCATATGGTTTTATTTCAGATGTCATTGTAATTGTCTTTTCCCTGAAGGTGAGATGTTATTTCACTCTCCCTACTTTTAAGATTCTTTGTCTTAATTTTCATAAATTTAATTATGCTATATCCTACTGTGAATTTTACTGGGTCCGTCCTATATGACATTCAGCTTCTTGCATTTTTATGTTTACACCTTTTGGCAAATTTGAAAGCTTCCAGACATTATTTCCTCACATACTTTCCCCTTCTTTAATTCTTTCTCCTATTCTTCTAGAATGACAGTTTCATGGTATTTTATGTTGTACTATAATCTCACACATCCCTGAGGCTCTATTCATTGTTTTTTTTCAGTGTACTTTGTTATTCAGATCGGGTATTTTCTATGGTTCTATCCTCAGCTTTACTGATTCTTTTCCCTGTCACCTCCAGTCTGATCCTAAGCCCATTACTGAGTTTTATTAAATTATTTTTTTAAGTTTATTTATTTATTTTGAGAGAGACAGAAATATTTATTTATTTGTGAATGGAGCAGGGACAGAGAGAGAAGGAGAGAGAGAAAACCCCAATGCAGGGCTCAAACTCCCAAAACTGTGAGATCATGACGTAAGCTGAAACCCAGAGTCAGATGCTTAACCAACTGAGCCACTCAGGCGCCCCTATAATTTTTTTTTATTTCAAAAATTTCCAGCTGGTTCTTTTTTATATCTTTTCTCTGTGTGCTGGAACATTCTATTGTTCCATTAGTGGTTTCAAGAGCATGTTTGTAATTGCTAATATGCTAATATTCTAATAAATAATGGCTTCTTTACATTCCTTCAAGAGTATTGGTGTCATCTTGGTGTAATGATGTTAGGTTTTTCTTTCAAATTGAGTTTTCTTGGTTCTTGGTATGAAGATTAATTTTTTATTGAAATCTAGATATTTTGAGCATTATGAGATTCTGAATCCTGTTTAAACCTGTGTTAGCAGTTCTCTGTTCTAGAAAGGCAAGGGATATTGCCTCATTATTGTCAGGTAAGGTTAGAAGTATAGGTTGCACTAACACCTGAGATGAGAGGGCGTCCTAATTACTACAAGGGTCAGGGAAAGACAGACGCCACTAAGCTTCTGCTCATATCACCCTGATTAGAGTGAAGGTATGGCCACAATTCTATCTATGCTGTTTGGTTAAAGTAAAGCAGTTATTATTTAAAAGTGTACTGTTTGCTAGACTGTTCCTTTGGCTAAAGAAGTCAGGATTTCCTTGATGACTTCTTTTCGTGTCTGTCCCATTTGGCACTTCTGAGTTGCTAGCTTTGCTGACACCCAGGTTGGGATATATGAGGCAAAAATAAAAGGAAACTCACTGCTATGTTGTTCCTTGGTTTCTGAAGTCCCTACCTACTCTTGCCTTTCTCTCCCCAGCTTTCAGAATCTTAATGTTAGCTTTACATATAAAATTGTTTTTAACTCTACCCAATAGAAAAGTATGTCTAGTGCATTATTCCAGAACACCAAATCTCTACCTGGTTATTTTTAATCTTCACATAATACATTTATCAATATTTTCCTTTATATTTAACTCCTTTTGCAGCATTTAAGAAATCTTTGCCTGAATGAGAAAGAATGAAATCTGGCCATGTGTAGCAACATGGATGGACCTTGAGGGTGTTATGCTGAGTGAAAAAAGTCAGGCAGAGGACAAATGTCATATGTTTGCACGTATAGGAGGATTAGGAGGAACTTAACAGAGGACCATGGGGAAAAAGAAGGGGAGAAATGGTGGAGGAAAGGGAGAGAGGCAAACCATGAGAGACTCTTGAATGCTGAGAACAAACTGAGGACTCATGGGTGTGGGAGGGGAGGGGGGAGATGGGCATGGAGGAGGGCACTTGTGGGGATGAGCACTGGGTGTTATATGGAAATCGACTTGACAATAAACTATTTGTAAAACAAAACAAAACAGGCACAGCCTTGCAAAGTCACCCCCCCCCCCCCGCCAAAAAGAAATCTTTGCCTGTATCATCCTAAGTTTTCTTTGAGGTACTTATTAAAACATTTTGAACTGCAGTTCCTCTGAAATAATATTTTCTATTTTAGTCTAGAAGTCAGTTTATCATCATACAAATACTGCATGCTTTATTTTAACTTTACAGTAAGTCTTGGTATTTGGTAGTATGACTTTTCAGTTTACATTTTCTTCTTTAAAATTATGTTGACAATTTGTTATTTGGGTATTGAGTTTGGTGAGTTTTTTATAGAATTTGGATACTAACCCTTTATTCCATATGTCATTTGCAAATATCTTCTCCCATTCCATCAGTTGCCTTTTTTGTTAATTGTTTCCTTCACTGTGCAGAAGCTTTTCATCTTGATGAGGTTTCGATAGTTCATTTTTGCTTTTGTTTTCCTTGCCTCCGGAGACATATCTAGTAAGAAGTTGCAGTGACTAAGCCCAAGAGGTTGTTGCCTATTTTCTCCTCTAGGATTTTGATGGTTTCCTGTCACATTTAGGTCTATAATCCATTTTTAGTTTATTTTTGTGTATGATGTAAGAAAGTGGTCCAAGTTCATTCTTCTGAATGAATAAAGATGTGGGGGGCATGTGTGTGCGTGTGCGTGTGTGTGTATATACAGTGGTACATTACTCGGTGATCAAAAAGAATGAAATCTTGCCTTTTGCAACAATGTGGATGGAACTAGAATGTATTATGCTAAGCAAAATTAGTCAAAGAAAGACGTATCATATGATTTCACTCATGTGGAATTTAAGAAACAAAATGGTGAACATAGGAGAACAGAAGGAAAAATAGGACAAAAACAGAGAGGGAAGCAAACCATAAAAGGCTCTTAAATACAGACAGCAAACTAGCAAACGGAGGGTTGCTGGAGGAGTGTTGGGCAGGAGGATGGGCTAAATGGATGATGGGCATTAAGGAGGGCACTTATTGGGATGAGTACTGGGTGTTTGTTATATTTAAATGATGAATCACTAAATTCTACTCCTGAAACCATTATTATACTATATGTTAACTCTTTTTAAAACTTTCTTAAAAAAATTAGTGGCCATTTTGTACTTTAGGCCTTTGCATTTTAATATAAACCTTTAAGTCAGTTTTCAATCCCCACCAGCAGTGCATCTCCTTCTCCACCATAAATAAATAAATAAATAAATAAAAGCAAAAACAGAAACAAAAATCTGCTGGAGATTGATTTTTGATGTTATCATATTCATCAATTGATTTTGAGAACATTGACATCATAACAATATTAAGTCTTAGAAATAAATGAGGATGGCTTATCCCTCTATTATGTAGATCTTCTCTGTCTAGTAATGCTTTGCAGTACTTTGCATCGTTAGTGTAGAAGTTGTCTTGCATGTCTTTTATTTAGTCTTCCTAGGTTATAAATGCCTTTAAATGCTAACGGTGTCACAATATTATGATGCAAAGACTCTTCTAAAAATTTCATTTTGTTACCATTGTAAAGCTATAAAGACATAAAATTATGGGGATGCTACAATCTGGGCTTAAGCCAAAAACACAATATTTAGTAAAAATCACAATCCACAGACTTTCCATGTGCAATCCAAACAGCAAAAATGCATGTTTTGTAGGTTTTCCCTTGACTTCAGGGAAATATATATCCATGTAACTAACAGTTATTTATAAAAGTCACTGTAGAAATAAAGTATATTGTAATTTATCTGGCCAACCTACAATTGGTGTTTAATGTGTTTTGATTTTATTCTCTATTGTAACACATCATAATTGCTCTATACCCAAATGTCTATTTCCTATATCTAAAAATTAATTTATTATTACATTAGAAATGGCTTAAAAAGTATGTTAACATATTAAACTCTTTACATTTCTAAATCACTTTCCAGAAAGCATGTGCTAATTTATACTAGTTTTAAGATGATAGTAAATTTTGTTTCTCAACATCAAATATTATTTTCAATGCCCAAGTAACACAAAAATAATAGTTGGATATTCATTTACTTTGTATTTATTTAATCACAAGTTAGGTGGAACTTTTTCATGTTTCTTAGTCATATGTTCAATTTCATAACTTTTTTTGTACTGATCTATAATGATGTGTGTGTGCAAGTGTGTGCATGTGCACATATACCTAACATACACATATATTGTGATATACATATATATTATGTGATGTTTTCTCTAATACCAACTGAGTGTTCAACAATTCCAATAAGTCAATGCTGACACTATTTGGATTTAAAATCTGATTACACAACTTAAAAGTCTCAATGCCACAAGACTGCCCCCCTCACAGATACCAGATGCAAATTTCATACCATCCACACTCTGACCAACTGGCTTTAACTGGAGATTCCCATGGCCCTCTCCTCAGGTTTGCTCATTTGCTCATTTGCCTCACAGAACTCAGGAAAACACTTTACTTGTTTTTATCAGTTTATGATAAAGGATACAACTCAGCAAGAGCTAAATGGAAGAAATATATAGAGCAAGGTATATTGGGAGTAGGGGCAAGGAAGAAGTCATAGTTTCTTTCCATGACAGCTCCAAACATCTCATCATTGCAGCAAGTTGATTTGTTCATCAATTTAGAAGGTCTCTGAATCTCAATGTTCAAAAGATTTATAAAGTTCAAACTCCAGCCATACCACTTTCCTTCCTGAAGGTCTGTGAGTGGGGCTAAAAGTTTAAACTCTAATCATTTGGTCTTTCTAGGAATCAGCTCCACCCTGAAGCTGTCTAGAGGCCCCACACTAAGTCACCTCTATAGTATAAACTCAGGTTTGATTGGGAGGGGACAAATAACAAAAAACATTCCTATCACACAGGAAACTCTAAGGGGATTTAGACGCTCCATGCCAGAAATCAGGGACAAAGACCAAATTATACTACACACACACACACACACACACACACCCCATTTTAGTGTGTATTAATGAAAGATTAAATTAGTCAATAAATTTATGCATTTACTCTGTCATATTTATAGTATTTTTTCAGTTTAGATTGTCTTTGAAAAGATAACATATTACTTTGTAACGTAGTCAGTACTAATATGTTTCTGTTATTTTTATGTCAGAATGTCTTTTCTCGTTCTGAGATAAGTTTACTAGCCACTTCCATTTTCCTCTTAATTTTCATTTCTTAAAGTATTATATCACAATGTAAATATTTTAATAAAATGTGAGATAACTGTTTACTTTTTTTCTTTGGTCAACTGTTTTTTAAAACTTTTTATTTATTTATTTTGAGAGAGAGCAAGAGACTATAAGCAGGGGAGGGACAGAGACTGAGGGAGAGAGGGAATCCCAAGCAGACTCCACACTGTCAGTACAGAGCCCTGTGAGGGTCCCAAGGGTCTCAATCCCACGAATCATGAGATCATGACCTGAACTGACACCAAGAATCAGACACTTAACCAACTGAGTCACCCAGGCACCCCGGTCAACTAATTTTTTAATGGTACCAATTTAAAAATCATTTATTCTATTTCTCAAAATTTTTGAGAAAAAAATAAACAAAGCTTAAACTCTGTTTAATTATTGTGTCTTGTGGGAAGGCCAAATTATATACATAAAATCAAATTCTTGGCTTGGCTCTTTTTTTGCCTTTCTTTGTTGTTCTTATTAGTCAGAGTGTTCTGACCTACTTTGTTTTTGGCATATTATCTGATTCTTTTTTGTTCTTTGTTTACACAAACTTTGCAGATTAGATCCTGGCCTAACAAAGAGGCTTAGATTCTTAAGTATGAAAAAATAAGTTTAAATATCTATAGCAAAACTTAAAAGAATGACAGATAGTGAAGCAAGCATTTCTTTGACTAAAAGAAATTCTGTCCTTTGAATCTTAAGATCATGATACAGTAACTAAAATTTGTAAGATTATTTATAAATGAAAAATCATAAATCTTCCTCTCTCTTCCTCTCTCTCTAGGAGGAACTGCTCAATATCTCAGTGAAGATGTAGTGTGTCCAGGCAGGAAATGAGTTCAGAGTCTTCCCAGACTGCCATGTTGGACCTCATCCTTCCCTATCTTTCTTTTCTTTTTCTCTTTCTCATGCACAAACGCATTCATACACAGACACTCACACACACACACACATCATATATGGAATAAAATAAAATCTGTATTTACCTTCCGTTCACCACATATAGTGCCATCATACACTTTAGTTAAATCCTTCAATGAAGATGTTGCTTCACTTCTTAAATATGCTGACAAACATATATGGCCTCCAAGGTAAGTATATTGAACATTATAAACTGTTCTTGGTACTATCTGTGAATGTGTCCAGTGACAAACTATCTTTCCACAAAGGATATCCCTGGCAATATAAGGCAGAAAAAATTATTCGTATGTCACTTAGGGATAAAATATATTTATTAAGTCATTAACATTTCAAAATGAAGATAATTCAAAATGTTATTCAGATCATAACACCAAAGTTACTCAGAACATATGAAGCATAACAAATAAATTCATGTGTATATTCTAGGTTCATCGCTCATTCATATTAACTTATTTTTGCACATGTGCGCACGCGCGCACAGGCGTGCGCCCACACACACACCACATGCATTCAAAAAAGTATAGTAGTGTTGGGTGTCTGGGTGGCTTAGTCAGTTGGGTGGCCAGCTTCAGCTCAGGTCATGATCTTATGGTTTGTCGGTTCAGACCCCACGTCATGCTCTGTGCTGACAGCTTGGAGCATGGAGCCTGCTTCAGGTTCTGTGTCTCCCTCTCTCTCTGCCCCTCCCCACTCACAATCTCTCTTTCTCTGTCTAAAAAATAAACATTAAAAAATTTTGAAGGTATAGTAAGTAGTCTGAATACACACCGAAAATCACAAGTCGTACTACCACAGTTTCCAAACTCATCTCCTTGAAAATTCACTTCTTGTGAACATAGGTAAGTAGAAACTTTAGCAACTGAGAATATAAATAGTTACAATTACTAATCTTAAAAAAATAAAAGTGGTAAATTAATATAGAAACATCTGACAACAGCAATGCCCAATGTCATCTACTATAAATATGTAGTGTCATCTACTGGCTATACAAGAAGGATGAACACTAAAAACTACTCACTTGAGAATAGGAAAATTGTGTCAAGGGCAGAAATGATTAAGAAAGCAGTTATTTGCTCTCTTATCTACAATTCTTCTTCCCTCTGCGCCAATAATGTGAAATTTCATTAATGTACGATTTTTTTTTTTGGTTCTGTACTTACTAGGCCTATTTTGCCTCAACATAGTTCGAAGTCATATTGATTAACAATTTTATTTTCAAATCTGGATTTTTAAACAAACATTACCCTTTATTATGGCTACAGGATGGATTACTGACTTTAGAAAAATATAGTTTGAAAATGAACCCCAGAAAAAAGATACAAATATTACATTTTCCAAATAATGTTTCACACTGTACATCTGGATCTCGGCATATTCCCCTATAGCAATAGGCAGTGTTATTATTACATGGCTGTAAATCAGCAGATACCACATCAGGTACACAAGCCGAAGATGTTCCATTGCAATATTCTGGAAAATCACATGGATCTTTCCTTTTCCTACATAAACGTCCTCTTTCGGCTATCTGTGAGACAAAGGAAAACAAATATAGTTTTTAAAGTAGTAAACCAAAAATGTAAAAATATTTAATCAAGAACGGTGTATTTCTATCATTTCCATTTGTATTGCATTTTAACTACTTAAAGTCAAATTATTATTTTACTTGAAAGCGCAAGTGAAATAGATTGGAAAAAACCCAAATGTCCATCAATGGATGAATAGATTAACAAATTGTGGTATATTCATGCAATGGAATATTTTCAACCATATAAAGGAGCACTGATACATAGACTACAAGGTGAATGAATATTCAACACTATGTTAAGTGGAGAAGGCCAGGCACAAAAGGTCACATATTCTGTTTCTACTTATATAAAATATCCAGAATAGGTTACTCCAGACAGAACAAATTGGTGGTTGCCAGGGACTGAGGGGAAGGGAGAAAGGGGAGCAAGTGCTTAATGCTCCAGGAGTCTCTTGTTTGAGTGACGAACTTTTTCTGGAACTAGATGGAGGCGGCTGTTGCACAACACTGTGAATATACTGAATATTACTAACTTGTTCACCTGAAAATGGTGAGTTTTATGGATGTCTTTCTTCACTCTAATTTTTTTAAAGGCTCTACCAAATGTAAGAATTATCCCCATTTTAAAGAACTACCCTTTGGGTTGTGGAGAAAGGACAAAGGCCTTTGTAGAAAAGCCTTATCTGTTCAATCCTGCTGATTTGGAGACAAAGGACAAGGTGAGCGCCCTGGTGAAGGTAAGAGCAATAAGGTTTATTGCTAAGTAGTAGAAACTCTGTCCCTGACTCCTTGAAGACAAGTGACCAGTGGCTTTAATTACTAGCACAAAGAGTGAAAAAGAACATACACAGAACAGAGTAGAATGACATTAGGAGAGATTTCACTGACAGAGAACCCAGCAAATCTCTAATCAGATTTTACGATTGTCGTTGACTCCTGAAAGTGACACAAAAAAGGCAAGATGAAGCAATCCCCAACAGATAAATCTTACTCAGTCTCCTTTCAGGTGTGACAATGAAGGAATTTGAAGGGGGAATTTCCCAAAGGAAGTCCAGGATTCAATTCAATTCCAGGACCAGTGGTCCCTTGAAATGATAAACTTGAATATTAGGCATGCTACATGTTGCTGGCTATTCTACATGGACCCCTTTTCTGCTACTTTCAAAATGAGAGATTATTATTATTGTTATTATTGTCTGTTTATTCAAATATTGTACATCAACTGTGTGTTGCATGCCTTGTTTTTAATTTTGTCATAAGAGCTACATTCAGGTATGACCAAGAGAAATTCATAGCACCCAAATAATTTGGAATTGATATTGAATAATAACTGGATGGGTCCTGAGTAGAGACTAAAACCAATGCAATGAAAAGTACAGCTAAGGTAGCTGAAAAAGATCTACGTACATCCTCTGAACTTAGAAATCAATTATGTATGAATCTGGTACATAAAGCTACACATTTGAAAGTTGTGTAAAAAAAAAGCTTAAAAAATGCTCTAAAAAATGGACACACAATAGCACAAAAAATTATGAAAAGAAATCAAGTTTTATTTTGAAAGTTTACCAGGCAAGTTCTTCTATCGCAGCATGGTCCACTGCCACACTCTGCATTTCCGATTAGAGTACAAGTTACAGGATCGCAGCATTTTTTATGACTGCATTTCTAAAAGCAAATAGAGAAAAGTTAAATAATAGGAATTTTCAATCAAAGAAATAACTGTATTTATTGTCAAAATATACAAAATATTTCCCTGAGCTAATTACAATCCTAGTATGACTTTGACTTCTGTACTTACTTTTTTAATTTGTTTTTTACATTTATTTATTTTTGAGAGACAGAGTGAGACAGAGCATGAGTGGGGGAGGGGCAGAGAGAGAAGGAGACCCAGAATCCGAAGCAGGCTCCAGGCTCTGAGCAAGGGTCAGCACAGAGCCTGATGCGGGGCTCGAACCCACGAACTGTGAGATCATAACCTGAACCGAAGTCAGACATCCAACCGACTGAGCCACCCAGGCACCCCATTCTGTATTTACTTTTAACACCACTTCAGTTAAAGTTATATTTTCAGCATAGGAAAAAAAATGGTAAAGAAATCAATCATGCCTCCATGCTCAAGCAACTGAGCTATAAAAAACTCAATGCAATTTCTTTCAATCTTATAGGAATACATAAATGTATGCAGTCTAAATTCTTAGATGTTTTTCACTTATTATATCATGAGTACTTTTCTATTTTACCGAATCTCTTCAAGATATCATCTTCAGAATATTTATCAATTTATGGATGTAACAGAATAGAGGTTCTAAATTATGACATTTTATTATTGTAAACAATGTTCAAAGAAAAAGCTTGTCATTTTCTTACTCTAAGACCTTATATTAAATGTAAATGCTAGAAATTATTAGATACTAGAGCACAAAAATATTAGTGGCTTTTCATAATATACTTCCATTTCCTTCTTCCTATAGGTTAAAAGAGTGATATGTCACAAGACTGATAGTAATATTTAAAAATTAGTAAAGTGGATAGTCACAAATCACTATGTTTATATTTGCTTCAATATTAATATTTTTATTACTAGTGTGCTGAAAATTTTACATAGCTGCACATTATTACTTACACATTTCCCCTGATTTTATGAGTTAGGGTAAGGAGTGCTGGTATTGGTATAAGGGTAGAAGCATGAAACAATGGATCACAAAGTATGTGATAAACTTTTTTTCAATACAAGTACCAAGAAAAATATAGCTTTTCCACAAATGGGCCTGGAACAATTGGATATACATATAGAAAAAATATATCCTGATTCTTAACTTACAAACATTACTCAAAATTGGTCATAGATATACATATAAAAGCTAAAATCAATAAACTTCTAGAAGAACACTTATGAGAAAGATTCACAACCATGGGATAGATCGGGTACAAGTAGCATAACGCATAAAAGGAAAAAAATGATAAACTGAATATTATCCGATTAAAAATTTGATTTTTTGAAAGATATCATTAAGAAAATACAAAGCCAAGCCACATACTGAGAAAAAATCTGGCAAAAGACTTGCATATAGTTTATATTAAGAATTTCTAGGGGCTCCTGGGTGGCTCAGTCAGCTAAGTGACCGACTTCAGCTCAGGTCATGATCTCACGGTTCGTGGGTTCGAGCCCCGCGTCAGGCTCTGTGTTGACAGCTAGCTCAGAGACTGAAGCCTGTCTTCCAGTTCCTTATCTCCTTCTCTCTCTGACCCTTCTCTGCTCACACTGTCTCTATCTCTCTCTCAAAAATAAATAAAACATTTAAAAAGAATTTTTTAAAAGAATTTCTCGGGGTACCTGGGTGGCTCAGTTGGTTAAGCAGCCAACATCAGGTCAGGCCATGATCTTATGGTTCTTGAGTTCAAGCCCCACATTCTGTGCTGACAGCTCAGAGCCTAGACCCTGCTTCAGATTTTGTGTCTCCTTCTCTTTGCCTCTATCTCTCTCAAAAATAAGGAAACATTATTTTAGAAAAAGCATTTCTATAACTACCTAATAAAAAAATCAAACCTTATAAATATGTACAAAATGTCTGAACAGACACTTCAAAAAGGAAGCATATGAATGGTCCCATAACTGTATGAAACACTTTTCAGTATAATTAGTCATAGGGGAAACACAAATTAAAAACACAATGAGATACCAGCACAAATTCAAATGACTAAAATGAAAAAAGACTGCCAATAACAAGTTGATAAGGATAAGCAACAACTACAATTCTCATACACAAATGGTTGGAATATAAAATATTACAATATTTGGGAAAGAAGTTTGGCATGTTGTTATAGATTTAATAGTCAACTAACATGTGACTCAACAATTCCACTTCTAGATATTTACCCAAGAGAAATGAAAACATAAGTCCAACCAAGATTTGAACATGAATATTTTAGGACCTTTTTTCATAATAGCCCCAAATAAAAATAATCCAAATGTTTATTAATAATTTGATGGATAAACACTCCAAGGAATATCCACACAAAGAAATACTACTCTATAACAAATAACATTGAACTACAGATACATTCAATCATGTGAATGAATATAGGAAAATATTCTAGAATCAAAAATACCCATAATCTATGATCCATTCATATAAAGTTCAGTAGGGGACAAAAATAATGAGTTATGATAGAAATCAGAAACTTAGATTCTTATAGGATTTACTTAAGGAGGTATGGGAAACTATAGTAATGTAAATGTCTTATATCTTTTTTTCCCCATCTAATTAAGTATATCATCACTCAATTTCAAAAACATCAGCAAGTCAGAAGGAAAAAAATATAAATAAACATAATGAAGTCCACCTAGACACATCGTAAATCTTTTTGTTGAAAACCAAAGACAAGCTCACAATCCATTTCTAGATACCAACAAAGATGGGTTCTATGGGTCATTTGGCTAGATATGGCAGACAGAAGCAGAATTGGGTACTGACATCTTTAGTGACAATGGGACAAGTGGTTTTTGACTATCATTGTTGAGACTCCTGATAAGTTCCATCAGTGGGGAATGGTGATCTTGTAATACTAAAAAACAAAACAAACAAAACATTATTATGGTTGTTGTTCACTCACCTACACTATCAAGAAAGTGAATCTACTTTCCTTCAGATGTTGGCCACAGTTATAGATAGTAAAATTCAAGTGACAAAGAGCAGTTAATCACTCCAAAGTTTACTGAGTTATGTTTTACAATGCAAGAGAAAGGAAAGAAATTAGATACTTGGGCAAAAACCTGATAAAATCATAAAAACTACCTCATCCAACTACCAGATTAGAGATCTATGCTAGTTTTGCTAGATTTGAAGTCTAGGAAGTCATTGTCGCTTAAGAACTAACCTCATTCTCCAAGTTCATTTGGTCAATGACCAATCTGGCTAATGACATGTACATGAAGAATGGGAATGTAAAAGCCTTTTGGGGCTTATTGCAGTAGGTCTTTATAGACATAGTAAAACTGGTCTATCCATAATGAATCTCCGTTTTCCAATAAATACCTTGAAGTCCAGCAGGTCAAGCTACCACTTCCCTTAGGTCCACTCTGACTCTGTCCTAGATTTTTAATAAAGACTAAGAGTACTCAGATGATGAAATAGTCACCCAAATCAGTTCATTCAAAAAGTGCAATCAGCCTATCAGAGACACCTGATTTTCCTCTTATTTCCAGGAATAGTGTCTAGGAAACTATTAAAAAACTGGGCAACAAAGTCTCCAGAATGTATAACTTGGCAAAGTCCAAACAAAATTCCATGCAAGTCAAGGGCAAGAAGATAAAGAAATCAGCCAATAATTGAAGTCTGAGCCATAAGTTCATGTAGATCTGGATATTAAGCCAGAGGGAATCCAGTGAGAACATTAATGGTCTGCCTTTGGGAGAAATTCTCACTACTGGCCTAAAGAAAACCCATGGTACTTAAATATTTGGGCCATGACAATGGACTATTCCTGGCCACCCTTGTGCTTTACTGTGGACAAGTAAAAGAAAGACAAGAGGGCCTCAATTCCCTGTCTGACGTAATACATTTGGATTAGCATTGACCCAACACCTTTGGCACCTTCTCTGAATTCAGATACTACTTCCTTCAAAAATAAACAGGGCAAGGGTATAGGGCTTCATCCAAATATAGTGAAAGCTATATATGTTGGCTAAGGTGTGTCAATGAACTGATGATAGGCCTGCCCTTTTATCTCTCCTGAGCACTGCAGTACAGTCCATTATGGTACTGAGAAATGGAGACATACACCCCAAGGATTTCATTCACATGTTGAATTTAAAAAATAGATAAATATAGAGGGAAAAGAAGAAAGAGGCAAAACTCATTAACAGACTCTTAACTATAGAGGAAAAATTGAAGATTGCTGGAGGGGAGGAGAGTGAGGGATTGATTAAATGGGTGATAACTATTAAGGAGAGCACTTGTGATGACTCCTGGGTGTTATATGTAAGTGAAGAATAACTATATTCTTCTACTGAAGCACATTAACTAATGGGAGCTTACATAAAAGTTTATAGAGAAAAAAACAATTTCACACACCTTTAAAAATATATTAATGTAGACTTGTGAAATTTTAGAATTATTATTACTTTATTTTTCTAAGAAAAGAAACCATATTTGACCAGATGGATTAATAGATATATACAAAGCATTCCATCCAAATGCACAAGAATACACATTTTTCTCAAGTGCACGTGGAACATTCTCCATTTTAGATCATGTGTTGGCCACAAAAGAAGTCTCATAATTTTAAGTACTTTTAAGAAGACTTCTTAAATCATATCAAACATCTTTTCTGACAAAGTTATGAAACAAGAGATCAATTACAAAAAGAAAACTAGAAAAAGTACAAATTCAGTATGTGGTGGTAAAACAGTATGATAGTGAATAAGAAATAGGTCAACAAAGAGATTTTTAAAAACTCAAAATGTACCTTGAGACAAATGAAAATTTAAATGTAACATAACAAAAATCTATGGGATGCAGCAAAGCAGCTGCAAGTGGGAAGTACATAGCAATATAGACCTACCTCAAAAAAACAAGAAATTCTCAAAAAATCTAATTTTATACCTATAGGAACTAGAAAAAAAGAATAAAGTTAGTAGAAGGAAGAAAATAACAAATATCAGATTGAAATAAGTTAACTGGAGACTGAAATCCCAATAGAAAAGTTCAATGAAACTAAAAGCCAATTCTTACAAAAGATTAAAAATATTGACAAACTTTCAGCTAGACTCACCAAGAAACAGAGAGAGAGGCTTCATAATAAAATCAGAAATTAAAGAGGAGAGATTACAATTGATACCAAGAAATACAAAGGTTCATAGGAGATCATTATGAACAATTATATGCCCATAATTGAACAATTTAGTAGAAATGGATAAATTCCTAGAAATGCATATATGAAAACTGAATCATTAAGAAACAGAAAATATGAATAGATTGACTACTAGTAAGGAGATAGGGTCAGTAATCAAAACCTCCCAAGAATCATAAGACCAAGTCAGATGGCTTCACTGGTGACTCTATCAAATATTCACAAAAAATTTAAAACTTGCCCTTCTAAACTCTTCATGAAAACTAAAGAGGAGGCATCACTTTCAAACTTAGTAGATAAGGTCTGAGCACAAATTATTCAGGTGCTTGTTAAGTATATATCCATTACACACTTTGTTCATCCTTCATGCATATATTTCATGTATATTTCATGTGTATTATATACAACAATGAAATGAGTATGTCATAAATATTTATCATTTAAATGGACAGAGAACTTCCTTTCAAGTGAACTAAAAAATACTAAAGAATATTTTAAGAAAGAGAATATAATTTAAATAAAATTCTTCAGAATGAAACTCTGACATGCAAAAAAAAACTAATAACAAAAGGAAATGATAGGTAAAATAAAACAAGTATTTTCAGAATAAAAGTTTTAAAGAATTTTCTAATGTAAAGCACAGAGGTGACAGAAATGCAATATTTACAAATATGTTATGTTAGTTGATTAGGTTATAAACCCCATTATTTTGGAGGTGGCCTAGATATGGTTAAAACTTAAATATGTATGGTACAAATACAAGAATAATCACTAAAGGAAAATAAAAAGTATACATCCACTAAACTGCTTAAATAGAGGAAGAAAGAAAAAAGGCTCAGATCAAAAGGGATGAAAAAAATTTTAATTAAAAAACAAGTATGGCAAAATGAACATAAAAATATGGAAATTTGGGGGCAACTAAAGTTAAAAAAATATAGAAGACTTTAAGGCATCATAACACCTAAATGTAATGAGGTATACTAGATAAGATCCTGGCACAGAAAGAGGCTATGCAGTATAAAGAAAAGAAATCTGGGGGTGCCTAGATGGCTCAGTCGATTAAGCACCTGGCTCAGGTCATGATCTCATGGTTCGTGAGTTTGAGTCAGGCTTCATACTGACATGTGCAGAGCCTGCTTAGGATATATCTCTTTCCCCCTCTCTCTTCCCCTCCCTCTCTAAATAAATAAATAAATAAATAAGTAAATTGGAACCCCCCCAAAAAAGAAATCTGAATAAATTATGGACTTTAGTTAATAAAATATGCAAAAATATTAATCACAAATTGTTTAAGAGGATAATCTGATAAATCAAAGACAGATTGGATAATAAATTAAACCCAGTATAGATCTTGAACTTAACAGTGCAGAAAAAGTAAATGAGAATAGAGAAATATCAGGGAAATGCTCATTAAGGGAAGCTAGTGTGTGCATAGATATATAGATATGTCAGACCAAATAGACTTAAAACAGAAAGCAACATTGAGGATAAAGAGATTCAGTGATTGAAAATGAAAGTTAAATTTCCAGGAAGATATAACAATCATAAGGTAAGACTCCACCATATAAAAAAGCTTCAAAATACAGAGAGAATAAATTGAATAACATATAGTAATAATTAGGCAAATCCAACTGCAAAGTTGAACACATAGATATTATCTCTCAAGTGCCAAGAGTTCAGGCAAATAAAATTCATAAAAAATATGAATTATTTGAAGCATTCACTTATAAATTGTGATATAATCAATTAACGTAGAATTTTGTTTCTAAGAATTCAAGAGTTTACATTTTCTCAACCAAATATGGAACATTCAAAAAAAATCAACATGCATAAGTATATAAAGACAGGCATAATAAAATGCAGATTAGATCTTACCAAGCACAACTGGAAAGAAAAAGTAATAGCAAATACTTAAATATAACAACAAACCAAGGATTATTATTAACCCAGTTATGTGAAGTGATGTTAAAATAAATAAAGTTCCCCCAAATGCAAGGACAGAAATCAGGAAATGAGGATGTAAATAACAACATACATATAAAACTTAATGAACCAATACAGTTACCTTGGCGGAATTCAGGGGATGATTAAGGTGATGATGATAGTATTTATGTTAATAATGTTTATGATACAGAAAGAGGTATTGCTATTAATGGTTACACAATAAAGAAAATCTACCTCTTTAATCCATGCTACACTGACCTCTTACTTCAACTCTTCAAATGCTTCAAATTCAAGATATCAGTTATCACAAGCCCTACAGCACCATATCTTGGATATTTAATGAAATGGTGCAGCATTTCATAAAAAGTCCTCCTATATCACATCTATATTTATAAGACTACATGAGAAGCACAAAAGCAAATCTTTAGATAAGTTATTAATGTTTGTCACTAACCTCTGGTAAACCACAATCACATTGTTCTGGTGGTTCCATAATTTTATTACCACAAGCTGTAGTTCTTCCTTGGCGAAAGACTTCTGAAACTGTTTTATTCTGAAGACATTCAAATTCAGGCTGTGAAAGCTTATGCTTAAATTCATCAATGCTGCAACTGCTAAAATACTTTACACCAAGGGAATGTCTAAAAATAAATCATATTCCTCAGATATAAATGGAATAAAACCAGTATCAAAGTAATACTCTATGATTTACTGAAAAGTACTAAAAATTCTGTAGTACTTCACTTACCGAAGGGCCAAGAAGGAGAGTGCTTTTAATACAAGTTATAAATAACAGCAATAAGTTTTTTTGATGGTAATTCAATATATTAAAGCATGTAGAGGAAGTTAAGGTGACATGAATTAGAATATATTAAACAAACATGCTTACCACACAAAAATCTTTCTTTGAATATGTCCTATTATTATTTTCATTATGGTTGCCAAAATCACAATTATAATCATTATTATAAGCACTAATTACAAGAAAATGAAACATACTAGATAATTTATGTCAAAAACTGAAGAAATATAGTTGAAAATATTAGTGAAAAATCACAAACATTTCTACTGCGATAACAAAATCGATCAATTAAAATATCTCGACATTGATTATATAAAATGTATAAACCCTAGGTTCTTTTTATATTGTTGACTATTTTAATATTTCTGTACTTCTACATGTAAAATTTAATGAATTTTTATTTAATTTTGTAACAATCTAAAACTTAGAGAAATGACACAAAAATAGTACAAAAGAATAATTTTTTCCTGTTGTCAAACACAATCCTAGTAACTCTAAATATTTTAATGTACAATTCTTACATAGATATTAATTCCAAAACAGACCTTTTAAAATCAGAAAATAATTATACATTACTAATGACATCCTCAGATGTCATTCAAATTTCCTCACAATATTGGCACTTTATAGCAAAAAAATTCAGTTGGGAGTCAACTATTACATGTATTTTTTTTTCAGTTTTTTTCTCCAAATTTTTATTTAAATTCCAGTTAGTTAACATGTAGTGTATTATTGGTTTCTGGTAGAGAATTTAATGATTCATCACTTACATGCAACACCCAGTGCTCATCACAAGTGCCCTCCATAATAGCAATCACCCATTTAGCCCATCCCCCCACCAATCTCCCATCCAACAACACTGTTTGTTCTCTATAGTTAAGAGTCTTTTTTCTGCTTTGTCTTTCTTTTTTCTCCACGTTCATCTGTTTTATTTCTCAAATTCTAAGTGAGGGAAATCATGTGGAATTTGTCTCTCTCTCTTATTTTGCTTTGCATTATACTCTAGATCCATCCACATCATTGTAAACGGCAAGATCTCATTCTTTCTTATGGCTGAGTAATTTTCATATATATATATCACATCTCAAATATATATCACATATATATATCACATTTCACATATATATGTATGTATGTATATATATATATATATATATATATCACATCTTTATCCATTCACCAATCAATGGACATTTGAGCTTTTATCATAATTTGGCTATGGTTGATAACACTGCTATAAATATTGGGGTATGCATGTATCCCTTGAAATCAGTCTTTTGATCCAGTATATAATCTATCTTGGAAAATGTTCCATGTGCACTCAAGAAGAATGTGTATTCTGCTGCCTTTGGATGAAAAGTTCTGAATTTATCTGCCAAGTCCATCTGGACGAGTGTATCACTCAGGGCCATTGTTTCTTCATTGATGTTTCTTCTTTCTGCCTAGATGATCTGTCCATTGTTGTAAGTGGAGTATTAAAATCACCTGCAAATACCATGCTCTTACCAATAAGATTGCTTATGTTTGTGATTAATTGATTTATATATTTGGGTGCTTTCATATTGGGTGCATAAACATTTATAATTATTAGCTCTTCTTGATGGATAGACCCCATAATTATGATATAATGACCTTCTTCATCTCTTGTTATAGCCTTTAGTTTAAAATCTAGTTTGTCTGATATGAGTATGGCCACTCTAGCTTTCTTTTGACTTACAGCAGTGTGACAGATGTTTCCCCATCCTCTCACTTTCAATCTGAAGGTCTCCTCAGGTCTAAAATGGGTCTCTTGAAGACAGCATATAGATGGATATTGTTTGTTTGTTTTCTTACCATTCTGATACCTTATGCCTTTTGATTTAGTTGATTTATACTCAAAATTATTATTAAAAGATATAGATTTAGTGTCATTGTGTTATCTGTAGGTTTCATGCTTGTGATGTTATCTCTGGACCTTTGTAGTCTTTGCAGCATTCCACTCACAGAGTCCTCCTCAGTATCTCTTGTAGAGCTGATTTATCGGTCATGAACTCCTTCAGTTTTTGTTTATCTAGGAAACACTTTATCTCTCCTGCTATTCTGAATGACAGCCTTTCTGGATAAAGGATTCTTGGTTGCATATTTTTCCTATTCAGCACATTGGATATTCCTGCCACTGCCTCCTGGCTCCCAAATTTCAGTGGACAATTCTACTACTACCTTTATGTGTCTACCTTTGTAGGTTAAGGCACGTTTATTCTGAGTTGCTTTCAGAATTCTCTCTTTATATTTGCATTTTGCCAGTTTCACTATGATATGCCATGGAGAAGACCTATTCCTGTTACATCTGAAGGGAGTTCTCTGTGCCTCTTGGATTTGGATGGCTGCTTCCTTCCCCAGATTGGTGAAGTTCTGAGCTATCACTTGTTCAAGTAAAACTTCTGCCCCTTTCTCTCTCTTCTTCTTCTGGAACTCCTATGATATGAATATTATTATGTTTCATGGATCACTTATTCTCTAATTCTCCCCTCATAGTCTAGTATTTCTTTTACCTTTTTTTCTCAGCTTCATCATTTTCCATAATTTTATCTTCTATTTCACTTATTCTCTCCTCTTCCTCTTCCATCCTCACTGTCATTGCATCTAGTTTACTTTGCACATCATTTACAGCATTACTTAATTCATCACGACTATATTTTAGTTCCTTGATCTCTGCAGCAATAGATTCTCTGCTGTCTTCTATGCTTTTTTCAAGCCCAGCAATTAATCTTATGACTACTATTCTAAATTCTTGATCATATATATTGCTTGTGTATGTTTTAAGAAATTCTTTAACTGTCATTTCTTCCTGAAATTTTCTTTGAGGAGAATTCTTCTGTTTCATCATTTTGACTAGTTTTCTATTCCTTGTGTTTCAAAAACTTGTTATGTGTCCTACACCTGCAAGCACTACGATATTAAAGAGGGGTCGTACATTGTCCACGGCGTGGCCCATCAGGAGGCATTTTTGGAATGTGTAACATGCTCTCTGTTGCTGCGACTTGGTTTCTTTCTCTCCCTACTCTTAGTGGTGGTTTGGACTCTCCACCAAGTGTGCTTTGATTTGTTTGTTGAAGTAACCCTGAGAAAAAAAATTGTTTTAAAAAGGGGGTGGTGGTGCAAGAAGCCTTATTCCATATAAAGAAATGACATGGGTGGGGAAGAATAAAATAAAATTGACTAGGCAGAGAAACTATATGGCTTAATCCAGAGAGAGGAAAATAAAGAATAAGGAGATATAGAACAGGTGTAAAGAGAACAGGTTAAATATGTCTGCTTAAACAAACCAACAACCAGAATAACCACACTAGAGAAGGGAAGAAATAAGAGGAAGAAAAGGATGAAAACAACACACACACACACACACACACACACACACACACAGACACACACACACACACACACACACACACACAAAGAACTGACCAAGAATTAAATAAAAAAATGCAAAACCGTGGGTGCCTCAGAACCGGTGGCTGTGCTGGTCTGGAAGAGAGCTGTCTGGTTGGTCAGCATCAATCTTGCTCCAGTAGAGCCCCAGTTACCATGAGTGGAGGGGCGTGGTTTGGTGTAGGTGAGTCCTACCTGGGCCGCTTGATTCCCTTAAGTCCCACCTTGTTGGTGATGGGGAGAAAAATGGCGACACCCTCCCCGGACCCAGTGTCACAAACCACTCAATTCAGGCTGTCCTCACAGTGCTGCATGGGTGCAAGCAGATTGTTCCCCCTCCCCCTCTCAATGCTCCACAGTCTCCTGTGCCTCCCAGGGGCTTCGCTGGTATTCAAACCACAATGTCTTAAAGGATCCTGCTCCTTGAGCCCTGGTTCTGGGGAAGTGCTGCTCTGCCCTGCTGATAAAGGGCTTCTGGCTGGCAGGTGCAGGCAGGGTCCTTTGTCCTTGGAACGACTATATACCTTCTTCCCACAGCACTCCAGGGAGGGGATTGCTTTCTCCCACTGCAGACTGCACCTCTGAGCTTGTTACTGAGGCTGGGGCTGGCTTCCCTCCTCCCTATGCCTGGGAACAGGGCAGCCAGTCCCAGACCAGAGAAAGCCCCACAGATATAAATTGGATCTTTCTCTGTTTTTTCTGATCCCTGGTCCATGGTTTCTCTCTTGTCCAAATACAATTCTACATTTGCACACCCTCTCTTTCTCTTCCTTTTGTCTCTCCACAAAAGGAGATCCCTCCCCTTCATGCCTACAGTACCCATTTTATGTCTCCCAGTTTGCAATCACGCACCTATGGCCCACCAAGTTGTCCCCGTGGGCTCCTGGAGATGTCTCTGTCACTCTGCAGCCCAGACTCTTCGAATTCCAAGTCTTCTGGCCTCAACACTGCTGTGTTTGAGGTATGAGGGAACTTCAGGGAACTTCGGGCCCCCTACTTCTCCACCATGTTGACCGCTTTTCTCTTTTATCCAAATCAGTCTTTTGGATCCTATGGGAAAATACCCAGAAGTACAATTGCTGGATGATATGGTTCTATTTTAAACTTTTTAAGAAAGGTCCATACTGCTTTCTGGCTGCACCAGTTTTCAGTCCCACCAACAGTGGGACTTTCTCCTCATCCTTATCAACATCTATTGTTTCCTGGGTTGTTAACTTCAGCCATTCTGACTGGTGTGAGGTGATATCTCATTGTAGTTTTGGTTTGCCTTTCCCAGATGATTCTTTTCATGTGTCTGTTAGCCATCTTATGGCTTTTTCTTTAGAAAACGATCTATTCGTGTCTTCTGTCCATTGTTTAACTGGATTATTTGTTTTTTGGGTGCTGAGTTTGAGAAGTTTTTTTTGATAGATTTTGGATACTAACCCTTCATCAGATATGTCATTTGCACATATCTTCTGCCATTCCAAACATTGTCTTTTAGTTTTATTGTTTCCTTCCCTATGCAGAAGCTTTTTATCTTGATGAAGTCCTAATATTTCGTCTTTGCTTTTGTTTCCCTTGCTTCAGGAGACACATCTAATAAGAAGTTGCTACAGCTAAGGTCAAAGATGTTGCTGTCTGTGTTATCCTCTAGGATTCTGATGGTTCTCTGTTTCACATTTAGGTCTTTTACCCATTTTGAATTTATTTACTTTAGCCCGGGAACCAATCATTCGTTCAGTTCTTTTTTAGTGAGGAATGGTATTTTAAAATCATTATATGGCTGATAGGTGTGCTCTTGTTACTAGATTTTTTAAAGGGCAGAGATCAAGGCCATACTAGCTACTTAGGAACTGTTCATAGTATATTTGCTCTTACCTACAATTTGCTACATCCCTACCAATTCTGGCTCCTGAAATGATCTTATAGATATTTCAGTATCAGTAGGAACAACTTCTCGGGGTATGGCTTATCCAATGATTTCTGAGTTCCTAGGTCAGAAAGATTTTTAGAGTTCCTATTGTTTTCCTATTTTAGTTCCTCCCATACAGCTACTTACTTCATGCAGCAATTTGTTAGTGGATTGGTCCCACCTTCTGGTATTTTTGGTGCATTTCAGTTTGGAAAACTTGTGGCATATGGTTTAATTTTTTTGTTTATTTTCCTAGTTTCACTCTGTATTTTGAGAGAATGAAATACCATTCTGAGGTAGGCTAAAATACCATGCTGATACTTTTACCATTTGATTTCCATCCTCTCCCTTATTCTTATAACATATTCTTCCCTAGGTAAAACTCCATTCTGTTTGGTTCTTATTCTAGTATTTCTTCCTTCCTTTCCTTCTCACTGCATATCACTGGTTTTCCCCAATTACTCAGCCTGCAAGTGTGAAAAGTACACAAAGCTAAATCTTAAGGCACCTCTTATCACTCTTTCAACTTCCTTCAAAATATTCTGTTCATGGTTTGAGCTTCCACCAATAAACTGTTGGCTCACACATTTCAAATTCCTTGTCCTCTGAGATCAGAACCTATATAACTGTGTATTTAACCCTAATGGGTGACTCACAATCCCCAAATTAACATAAACTGCCCTTAAGACTTATCCTTTCCTAAAATATTTGCCTTTTTCAACACCTGTTAATAACTGATATCTAAAAGCCTACAAATAATTCTTCACATCTTTTTTCTCCTCAATCTTAATATTCTGTATTATGAGAATCATCTCCAAAATATTATCATATGGTTGTTCCCTCTGATATATTTTACATTCATTTTAAGGTAATCTTACTATCCATAACACATAAATCAATTTAAAATGTGTTTTGTTAACCTTTATGATAAAACTCCAACTCTTGCATCATGATTGCATAATCAGGCTCTTTAATACATTCCTGAATCAGCACTTGACTTCTTCTCCTGACTTGTTATGCTTTAGTCTCATTGCATTTTACTTTCCTACCCCTATGTCTAAAACATTCTTCCTTATAGTCCCAGCCTTTTTGTTTTTCATTTTTATCTTTCTCCCAATTTCCTCATTTTAGTCTTTTGAGCTTTTCAAGCTACTACTTAATTTGTTGGCCCTGAAAAGTTTTCAACAAGCTCTTTACATTAACAGATTCATTTCCCTCATAACTGTTTCCTCAGAAAAACTTTCCTTTATCAGAAAGTTCCTTCTCTCCATGTATTCCCTATTTATTTCCTTCTTGGCATAAGCTTAGTTTATACTTTGTTTATTCTTGTGTCTAATGTTTCATTTTCAGGCCCTGATAGACTAAGATATTTAGGACATAGCTATCTTGTTAACCATTTGTAAGACTAACACAACACTTGCAACACAGTAAATGTTGATTACATAATATCGTTAGTTGAATGAATTTCACCTCAAGACTCTAGTAAACCCCCAGAAGGTAACCATCAACATTTACTTTCTGTGTAACATTGAATGTAGAAATATTAAGCATATTTTCTACAATATGAAATACTCCTCCTTAAATGAGTTTAAACAAGCACATTATGTATTTAATAAAAATATTCTTACTCAGGTTGTACTGCAAGAGATTATATATCAGCGACTACTACAAACAATTCCCAAGAGAAGACACAGATTTAATAAAAATAAAATCTTACATTGCTTCAGGATTCATTATGCATGTAGTTCCTGGGCAGTAACAATTGTAGATATCATCATATGTTAATCCCAGATTAATTCCAAGCAACTGTGTCATAACAACTGAAAATGCATCTAAAGTTATCATCTGTGGATACTAAACACAAAACAAAGCCAAAGAGAATTGCTTTCTCTGTTTATTGACAGGAGTAATTATTTTTTTACCCCCTTGATCTTTTCTTTTTGGCCAGATTACCTAAATTCAAATACAAATTTAGGAAACTACTGTGCCAAATACCATTATTTTCTTAGGACTATGGAAAATTAGGAAAAAAAAATAGGCAAATTTTGTTTTTCTTTTTGGGTTCTACTATGTTTAATCCAAATGGCAGTGATATATAACAAAATAAGATTAATGCACTCATATGCTTTTATTACATATTATATTTCAATAAGCTTAAACAAAATTATAGAAGAAAATGCATTGTTTCAGTAATTATATTAATTTTCAATGAACACTTAGGGAAAAAAACACAGATTCCTAAGGGTTGAATTTGTAATCAGTTTTGACTTCAGAAATATTTTGGGGAGAGAGTCAAATTAATTTTTTTAAAGGCAGAATACTCTGACAACTTGCAGGTAGCATTTTTGTCTTCAAAGAAACACTTGGAAAGTAATGATGTCACCAAGACACAAACCCCTGACAACCGATAATCTTTTTACCATCTCCAGGTTTTCCTTTGTTAGAACACACTGTATGTAACCTTTTCAGATTGACTTCTCTCACTAACCACTATGCATTTTTCTCCATGTCTTCATGGCTTGATGGCTCATTTTAAGAAATCGGATAGTATCCCTTTATATCAATTTACTCCAGACTGTTTATCCATTCATGTATTAAAGGATACTGTGGTTGTTTCCAATTTTTAGCAATTATGAATAAAACTGCTATAAACATTCATATGCAGGTTTTTGTGTAGATATAAGTAGTCAAGTCATTTGGGAAATGCCAAAGAGGACAACTGCTGGATTATATGGTTAAAAAAAACCAAACTAAGGACTTGAATAGACATTTCTCCAGAGATAATACACAAAAAACAAAAAGCAATGAAAAGATGCTCCATATCATTAGTAATCAAAGAAGTGCAAATCAAAACCACAATGAAATATCACTTCATACTGGTTAGGATAGCTACTATTCAAAACAAGAACAGTAACAGAAGATAATGTTGATAAAGACGTGATGAATATAAAATGTAAACTGTTGATAGAATTATAAAATGGTTCAGTGTTCCTAGAAATAAGTATGATTGTTCCTCATAATATTAAAAGTAGAACTACTATATGATATAGCAAATACATACTTCTGGGTACATACCCAAAATAATTGAAATCAATATCTTGATGAGCTATCTGCACTCCCATATGCATGTGGCATTACTCACAATAGTCAAGGTACAGAAATAACCTAAATGTCCATTGACAGATAAATGGATAAAAAATGTTATATATATATGTATATACATATATATGTATATATATGTATTTGTTTGAATATTATTCAGCCATGAAAAGAATGAAATCCTGCCATTTGCAACAAAATAGATGAATCTGGATGAAATTATGCAAAGTGAAATGAGCCAGACACAAAAAGACAAATATATGATCTCTCTTATATGTGGAATCTAAACATGTCATACTCACAGAACAGAGTAGAATGGTGGATTCCAGGGTCTAGATTGTTTGGAAAGTTGAACCATGTTGGTCAAAATGTACAAATATTTATTTAAGCAAGATGAAAAGTTCTGGCGATCCATTTCACAACAATATGAACTTACCTTAGTACTACTGAATTATACATTTAAAACTAGTAAAAATAGTAATTTTATGTTATGCATATTTTACCACCACAACAAAAAACTTTAAAAATTATAATATTTGAGTTTCAAAATCTAATAAAAAAAGGACTTTATAAAAATTTGTCAAAACAGCACGGTAGAGAACTATAAATATTTTGTTCCTTGAAGTGGATATTAACTTTTAAAACATGATATAATTACTGAGTAGATGAGAATAAAATGCATACCAGAGCAATTCCTGCAGCAAACTTTGGATTGCATGCCATTCCATGATATGTTGCTCCCACATAATCAAGATGGTTCCTATAACTATAATAAATAATACATTTTTCATATAATAAAATTTTTCTTCTGAATAAATGCCTTTTAAATTCTAACTTAATGAACTTTGTTGCGGACGAAATGACACAAAGACAGGACACACACAAAGAACAGGCACAGACACAACTCTGGCCAGAGGAACAATTCTACGCAAGCCCCTCTTGCGGTTTATTTTATACCCCGGTAACTGGATACAAACTGAAACCTACAAGATGCATTCCTTTACCAATTAAGGGCAAGTAGCCAAACACATTCCAAGGACAGGGGGGAGCAAAGGGAGGAAGTGACCACAACATGTTTACTAAGAGGCCTGCTCACAATTCCAGCCTCCTCCTTACTTCTAAGGAGGGCATGTTCCCTCGTTTGCGAGCGGACCATTAAACTTGGATATTGTGTGCAGGCCTCCTGGCAGAGCACCCCGTTTGCAGGCATGCCTTGCCCAGGCAGGGAGCCCCGTGTGCAGGCACATCCCCGCGTCCCTAACCACGCTTTCTTGTGGTCACTGTTGGGCTCCTGCAAACTTTAAGAATTCAATTTCTCAATAAAGCTATGATTTAAAAAACTGTTTTTAATGCTTAGTTATTTTTAAAAGAGAGAGAGAGATAGAGTGTGAGTGGGGGAGGGGCAGAGAGCAAGAGGGAGACAGAATCCAAAGCAGGCTCCAGGTCCGAGCTGTCAGCACCGGAGCCTGACACAAGGTTCAAACTCACCAGCTGTGACATCATGACCTGACCGAAGTTGGATACTTAACCAGCTGAGCCTCCCAGGTGCCACTAAAGCTATTTTTTTAAATACAAATATTACATATCATATCTAATGCTTTAAACCATTTCGTATTTGTGTAATATCCCACAATTCCTACAAAGTTAAGTTTTAAAGTCTACTTTAACATTATATAATATACAGCCCCAAAACCAGCAGTGCCTAATCCTTCCAAAACATTAATCATCACTGTTGCCATCACTGGATGGATATAATCCTAAGATCTACAAGTCAGGATAGCTTCCTGCCATGATTTGCACATAGTGAACCCCTATAGCATCTTAAAAATGTTGGAATGGAGGAGAGGGAGACAAGGAGACAGAATATGCAGTGGACTCATTAAGAAAAAAAAGAGATTCGGCTCTTGCATGGCTCAGTTGGTTAAGCTTCTGACTTTGGCCCAGGTCATGATCTCGCAGTTGGTGGGTTCAAGCCTCACGTCTGGCTTTGTGCTGAAAGCTCAGAGCCTGGAGCTTCCTTCAGATTCTGTGTCTCATTCTCTCTCTGCCCGTCTCCTGCTCATGTGCTTTCTCTCTCTCTCTCTCTCTCTCTTCCTCTCTCAAAAACAAATAACCATTAAAAAAATTAAAAAAAGAAAAAATAGAATGTATAAAGTATCTTTATGCATTTCAATCCTTAGTTATTGTAGTTCCTGAGTCCCCAAACCTGTCCTTAAATTCTGCAGGAAACATCAATAGATTTATAAATCTATTGCATATTATTCATATCTTCAGAAATATTTTTATTATTTCCATCTAAATAATCAAATAGTTAAAACAAAAAAACATGTATACTCTTGAAAGAAATAGTGTAAGTAGTTAAATAGCTACACCTTTGGTCAGTATAGATATACCTGATGGTAATCACATTACTTGTTTGATATACTGTATTTTAACCAGCATTGTATGGAACTATTGCATTCTTTTAACTAAAATACATTGTATTTAATGTTAAAATAATGGTTTCAATTATATACCTCTGAAAAAATCTTTAAAATCATTGAGGCCCATATTTATCCCAAGGCTTTCTGAATTTTCAAGTCTATTACATTTCCATAGGAAAAAAGTCCACTCTAATAATGGTTTACTATGACTTAGTGTCTTCCATTGTTTTCAGATTTTTATATTTTGCATTTTGTCAATATGGTATACATACAATCTTTTTTTGAGGTGTTTTGTTATAATGCATAACACATTTTGTATATAATATTGATAGTTAACATATCAAATAATTTGATAAACCCTATATGAATGAAAATAAGGTAGTTACATTAATAAGTATGCCAGATCATGGGACCTTTGAGACAAAAATTGTTCTTTCCATGACACAAATCTTTGTAGTATTTCATTAGCATCCCCACTAAGCAAAATCTTATTTTGATCAGACCAGAGCTCCAAAGAAGTTAGCATAACTGTCACTTTAAGCTGGGAAAATACCTAAAAACAGAAGATACATAATATACAGTTTTAGGTAATCATAAATATAACATTACATCTCTATACATAATGCTAATATATATTGAATTTACACATTTTTGGAGATGAAATCCATTGGTGGATGAAACTAGTTGGTGGGACTATACTTTCAAAAAAACTGGAAATGCTACATATACAAACACTATTACTGCATTCATAGGGAATGTTTCTTATTTAATAGAAACATAAATACTTACAGTATTGATTACACCAATGATATGGACAACTTTCTCAGTTGCAACTGCTACTTCAGAGCCCATGAAATCAAACTGAAAGATAAATTTTGTTTCTTCATCACTAATGAAAATTACTAAAGTATCACATTTTAAATGGGTATAAAAATGTTAAAATAATGCAACGCTCAAGTGAAAGGGAAAAACAGAATTAAGATTTATCAACTGCTTAGTAAGTTTTAGGCAAAACCTAGGGACTTAACATATTAGTCAATAACCTTAAAATAAGAAGATTGGGATTATCTCCCTCTTTACACATACAGAAAATAAAAAGTCAAAAGTTAAGGTTCTAAGATTGCATAACTACTACGGGTAAAAAGCAGAACTCAAGTCTCCAAGTAACTAAACTACTTTTTTTTTTCTGCTCTAGTAGGCTGCCATCATCTTCATCCCAGCAAGATGACATGACTATATATCCTGGATAAAGAGTGTACTTTCTAAACACAGAGCTCTGAGGACCAGAATAGTGAATAATTTCAATATGTCCATTCAAAGAAACAGAAATCAAAATACCTTCTCTAAATATTTCTAATTACGTATGTACACATTTCTAAGTGTTAGCTGAAAACATAAAAAGTGGCAATGTGGAATCTTCAATAATTTCCAACAAATCTACAGAAGACTACTAACAGAAAATCAAATGTAATGGATAGAGTTCTCCGATATGGCCAAAAGGTGTTATCCACCTACATCTTTAAAGACTTAATGGGGCGCCTGAGTGTCTCAGTCCGTGAAATGCCTGACTTTGGCTCAGGTCGTGATATCACGGCTTTTGAGTTCAAGCCCTGCTTCAGACTCTGTGCTGACAGGTCAGAGCCTGGAGCCTGCTTCGGATTCTGTGTCTCCTTCTCTCTCTGTCTCTTGCCTGCTCGTGCTCTGTTTCTCTCTCTCTCAAAAATAAACCTCATTAAAATTTTTTTAAATAAAATAAAATAAAGGCTATTTATACTTTGCTATTTCTCTGTATATAACCTTTCACAATAAATAATATTGTATATTTACACAATGCGGCATGGGTGGTATGAGTGAAGGTGGCTGATCCTTTGCAAAACTGAAAATATGAAAAGCAAGAGAAAAGAAATAAAAAATATGACTATGGAAATAAATCCCTATGTGTCAATAATCACAAATTACCAACATACCAAATACAAGGTAAAAGACAGAGACTATTAAAATCTACTATATGCAAATTAAAACAAAAACCTCTAAATTATATGTACATAGAGATATTAAGAGACAAAGCATGAAAATATATACCAGGAAAATAATAGACAAAAATCATGTTATATGATAGTTACATTAATTAATATAACAGTTACTGGGGCTCCTGGGTGGCTCAGTCAGTTAAGCGTCTGACTTCTGCTCAGGTCATGATCTCATGGTTCGTGGGTTCAAGCCCCACATCTGGCTCTGTGCTGACAGCTCAGAGCCTGGAGCCTGGTTCAAATTCTGTGTCTCCCTCTCTCTCTGACCCTCCCCTGCTCACACTGTCTCACTCTCTCTCTCTCTCTCTCTCTCTCCCTCCCTTTCAGGAATAAAAACATTTAAAAAATAAATAAATGTTTAAAAATATATAACAGTTACATTAATATGAAAAAAACTTAAAAGCAAAAGATGGACATAATTATCATAATACATTGATAAAAATAATTATCAAGAAAGATGAAAGCATTCTAAACTTGACTATAACTAATAGCATAGCAACAAGGTGTATAAAATAAAATTCAAAACAATTATAAGCAGAAATTGACTATCATAGGAATTTTTACATAGTTCTCTTAATCATTCATAGATCAAGCAGACAAATTAACAGTAAACACAAGAGTTTTCAAAGGCAGAGATTATTTGAGTAGAGAAAAAAAGGCCTATCGATATTCCATTTACAGAGCTGTATATACTTCAAAATTTAAGACAGATAAACTGAACATAAAAGAAGAAATACTAAGCATATTTTAAGGAACTCTTGGAATTTTTGTAGTTGTTTTGGTGTTTCTTTGTTTTGCGTGATGTCATCTGCATTGAAAATGCCTTCTTTTGTTATTGGAATAGCAAGAATTGGAGAGAGGAAAGAAGTCTGTTTAGATTTAATTAGCAGCCTCATGGGGGCACTGTGCTTGCCTCCTCCTTTGAAAAAAGCTAGATAAATATCAGATCAATCTGAACACCCAAGAAATAGAGCTGAGGACTGACAGAACAAACTGCATGAAGAGGGAGAGAAGCCACATTGTGTAGGGCAGGAGGTGCAGAGGTGTGATTTGGCCAGGGTGGGGGGGATTGGTATCATGGGTACCATGAGAGGAGAGAGGGGAGAGGGGAGAGGGGAGAGATGGGAGAGGAGAGAGGAGAGAGAGATAGCAGTACACAGGGATTGCACAAGGAAATATCTTCTCCAAAGTTATTGACTGGGAAAATGAGAGGGGCTGATTATCTTGAGTGTTTGCAAACATCAGAGCTCAAAGACTGCAGTTTTAGAGTTCTGAGAGTGGCTGGTGTGGAGGCCAGTTGGCACTGCAGTATTCCTGTGGAAAAGGAGGGCAATCCCCAGGAGTGGACTGTGCAATCTGAGGATCCCCAGGGACACACTAAGAAAGACATTCCTCCCTTCTTGGAGTACATCTGGGAAAGGCAGTTTTGCCTGTCAGGGACAAAAGAGCCTACAGGCACTATTGGGTTACCCCTCACCCCTGAAGAGTCGAGGCAGAGACACCTGCTGAGGGCAGTTAACCTGGACTTAGGGTTTTGCTGTGCTTTGCTCTAAACTCCAAGCTCCTGTGCATTCATGCAAATGTCCTTTTGACAGACTGGCATGAGCACCAGCATGGTGAGACCCTCACCCAGAAGATCAGTGCAAGTCAGCACTGCAATAGGTACCTAAAGTTTGGAGTTTTGAGATGTGTCTGGGATAAAATATAGGTGCACTGTGCTGCTGGGCAGGCAGATAGCCCACACACAGGATGAAGGTAGGGATCTGACAGATGCCTCAGACACCCAAGACGAGACTTACTCTTCTTTGAGGCCTCCCCAGACAGTGGTGGACATGAACTCACCTCTCCTGGGACAAGGGAGAGGGCTGGCACCACTTTTCTCCCACATCCATCAGTATGACTGTTTTCGGAGAGCAGCACAGCCCCATTGACAGGGGAGGCCTGAGTTGCTTACACCAAGCCACATCTGCCTGCATTCTGCAAGTGCTTCTTTACTAGGGCAAGTGTGCCTGAGAACCAGACCAGTGGGCTCCACCCCCAGAAGATAAGCACCGATCCCCACACTATCCTACTCTGCTGACCATATAGTACTTGTTGCAAAGCTTCAGCTCTAGTGGAAATAGGATCAGGCCTCTTTTCAAAAGCAGACCAGAATACACTTTTAAAAGCTCACCACACTCTGAACAAGGTCCAAACACTCCCCACTACAGGCATGGAAAAACTGTCGAGAAATGACCTGAAGGAAAGAGCAGCCAAACATAGCAGCAAAGTGCACACATCATATGCCAGAAACACTTCTTGAAGGGTCAGGCCCTGGACAGTAAATAACCTCTTCTTAATAAAGCCATGACATCCAAGAGCAGGAAATGTAACAGGCTTTCCTAACACACAGGAGAAAACAGACCTAAACAAAATGTCAAGATGGAGGAATACATCTCAAAAGAAGGATCATGATCAGGGATCTAATTGAAACAGGTATAAATAATATGTCTGACTCAGAATTTAAAAACAACAATCATAAGGATACCAGCTAGGATTGAGAAAAGCATAAAAGACACAAGGGAGTCCTTTCTGCAGAGACAAAAGACCTAAAAACCAGTCAGGATGAAATAAAAAAATGCTATAATTGATATGTGAAACCAACTGGATGTAATGAGCACAAGGATGGAAGAATCAGAGGAAAGAACAAATGATGTAGCATATGAAAGTATGGAAAATAATGAAGCTGAAAATAAGAGGGAAAGAAAGGTACTGGATCACGAATGTAGACTTGGGAACTCATATCATAGGAACCCAGAAGAAAAACAGAGGGAAAAAGGGCAGGTTTATATGAGGAAATTATAACCAAAAATTCCCTAATCTGAGGAAGGAAACAGACATCCAAATCCAGGAGGCACAGAGAAGTTCAAATAAAACCCAAAAACGCAGGCCAACACCAAGACATAGTGTAGTTAAATTTGTAAAACATAGAGATAAGGAAAAAATCCTAAAAGCAGCAAGGTAAAAGAAATCTCTAACATACAAGGGAAGACAAATAAGGTTAGTAGTAGAACTCTCCACAGAAACTTGGCAAGCCAGAAGGAAGTGGCATGACACAGCCAACATGCTAAATGGGAAAAATATGCAGCCAAGAATGCTCTATCATCAAGGCTATCATTTAGAATAGAAGCAAAGATATAGAGTTTCACAGACAAACATAAAATTAAAGGAGTTTGTGATCACTAAACCAGCTCTGCAGGGAATATTAAAAGGGACTCTTTTGAGTGGGAAGTAAAGACCAAAAGTGACAAAGACTAGAAAAGAAAAGAGAAAATTTCCAGAGACAATAACTTAATAGGTAATACAATGGCACTAAGTCCATATCTATCAATAATTACTCTGAATGTAAATGGACTAAATGCTCCAATCAAAAGACACAGGGTTATCAGAATAGAGAAAAACAAGATACATTTAATTACTGTCTACAAGAAACTCATTTTAGACCTAAAGACATCTGCAGATTGAAAGTAAGGGGATGGAAAATCATTTATCATGATAATGGTTGTCAAAAGAAAGCCGGAGTAGAAATACTTTTATCAGATGAAATACATTTTAAACCAGACCTGTAACAAGAGATGAAGGGCACTGTATCATAATAAAGGGGTCTATCCAACAAGAAGATCTAACAATTATATTTATGCTCCCAACTTGAAAGCACTCAAAGATATTTTAAAAATTTGATAACAAACATAAAGAAACTAATTGATATAATACAATGATAGTAGGGGACTTTAACATCCACTTACATCAAGGGACAGATCATCTATTCCAGAAATCAAAAAGGAAACAATGGCTTTGAATGACACACTGGACCAGATGAATTTAATACATATATTCAGAATATTTCATCCTGAAGCAGCAGAATACAAATTCTTTTCAAGTGCACATGGGACATTCTCTGGGTCACAAATCAGGCCTCAACAAGTACAAAAAGACTGAGATCATATAATGCATATTTTCTGATCACAATGCTATGAAACTTAAAGTCAATCACAAGAAAAAAATGGAAAGACCACAAATATATGGAGGTTAAATATCCTACTAAATAATGAATGGGTCAACCAGAAGATTAAAGAAGAAATAAAAAAAACTACATGGAAACAAATTAATATGAAAACATGATGGTTCAAAACCTTTTGGATGCACCAAAAGTGGTCATAAAAGGGAAGTATGTAGCTATAAAGGCCTACTCAAGAAGCAAAATAACTCTCCAATATGCAAGCTACCACCTTACACCTAAAGGAGTTAATAAAGAAAAGAAAATGAAGCCTAAAGCCAACAGAAGAATGAAAATAATAAAGATTAGAGCAGAAATAAAACATACAGAAAAAAGAACAAAAAATAGAACAAATCAATAAAACTAGGAGCTGGTAACTGAAAGGGTTAATAAAATTGATAACCCCTTCATCAGACTTCTCAAAAAGAGAAAAGGATCCAAATAATAAAATCATGAACAAGAGAGGAAAGATCACAACCAATACCATAGAAATACAATTAAAAGAGAATATTATAAAATATATGCAAAAAAAAATAAAACCTGGGCAATCTGGAAGAATTGACAAATTCCTAGAAAAATACGAACTACCAAAAGCGAAACAGGGAAAAATAGAATATTTGAACAGACTCAGCCAGCAAGGAAATTGAATTAAAAATCTCCCAACAAACAAAAGTCTAGGGCCAGATGGCTTCAAAGGTGAATTCTATTTAAAGAAACTTAAAAAGAGTTAATACCTATTTTTCCTCAAATAGTTCAAAAAAAAAATAAAAATAGAAGGAAAATTTCCAAACCCATTCTAGAGGCCAGAATTACCTTGAATCCAAAACTCAAGAGTCCACTAAAAAGCAGAATTACAGGCCAATATCCTTGATGATCCATGGATGCAAAAATTTTCAAGAAGATTTTAGCAAATCTAATCTAACAGCACATTAAAAGAATTATTCACCATAATCAAGTGGGATTTATTCCTGGGCTGCAAGAGTGATTCAATATTTGTAAATCAAGGTGATGTAACACATTCATAAAAGTAAAGATAAATCCATATGATTCTCTCAATAAATGCAGAAAAAGCTTTTGACAATGAGTAGCACCCATTCTTGACAAAACCCTCAATAAAGTATAGATAGAGGGTACATACCTCAACATTATAAAGGTCATATAGGAAAGGCTCCCAGCTAGTATCATCCTCAATGAGGAAAAACTGAGAGCTTTTCCTCTGTAGTCAGCAACAAGACACTGAGGTCCACTCTCACCATTATTAGTACTCGAATTCCTAGTCTCAGCAATCAGACTGCAAAAATAAATTTAAAAAAAAAATACATCCAGATTGGTAAGGAAGAAGTCAAAGTTTAAGTATTTGCAGATGACGTGATATTCCATGTAGAAAACCCAAAAGATACACAAAAAAATTGCTATGTGAATTCAGCAAAGTCGTAGTATATAAAATCAAAGTACAGAAATTTGTTGCAATTCTATACATGAATAATGAAGCAGCAGAAAGAGAAATCAAGGAATCAATCCCATTTATAACTGCACCAAAAATCATAAGATAACTAGGAACAACCCTAACCAATATGGGAAAAGACCTGTACTCTGAAAACTAAAAAAACACTGATGAAAGAATTTGAAGAGGACACAAAGAAATGGAAAATCATTCCATGCTCATGGATTAGAAGAAGAAATATTGTTAAAGTGTCTACATTACCCACATAATCCTACATATTTAATACAATCCCTATCAAATACCACCAGCATTTTTCACGAGCTAGAACAAACAATCCTAAAATTTGTATGTACCAGAAAAGACCCCAAATGGGCAAAGCAATCTTGAAAAAGAAAAGGAAAGCTGATGGTATCACAGTTCCTGACCTCAAGCTGTATTATACAGCTCTAGTGATCAGGACAGTATGGTACTGGCTCAAAAACGGACACAGAGATTAATGGAACAGAATAGAAAACCCAGAAATTGGACCCACAACTATATAGTCAACTAATCTTAGACAAAGCAGGAAAGTATATCCAATGAGGGGGGAAATAATCTCTTCAATAAATGGAGTTGGGTAAAATGAACAGCAATAAGCATAAGAATGAAACTGGACCACTTTCTTATACCATACACAAGTAGCCCTATTCAAAAATAAATTTATAATGAATGAAAGACGTAAATGTGAAATAAGAAACCATCAAAATCCTAGAGGAGAACCCAGATAGCAACTTCTTTGACCTCAACTGAAGCAACTTCTTACTAGACACATCTTGAAGGCAAGAGAAACAAAAGCAAAAATGAACTGTTAGAATTTCATCAAGATAAAAAGCTTCTGCACAGGGAAGTAAACACTCAATAAAACTAAAAGGCATTCTATGGAGTGGGAGAAGATATTCGTAAATGACCTATCTGATAAAGGGTTAGTATCCAAAATCTATAGAGAACTTTTATCAAAGTCAACACTCCCCAAAAAAATCCAGTTACATAATGGGCAGAAGACATGAATAGACATTTTTCCAAAGAAGACATACAGATGGCTAACAGACACATGAAAACAAGCTCAACATCAATCATCATCAGGGAAATACAAATCAAAACCACAATGAGATACCACCTCAATCCTGTCAGAATGGCTGAAACAACTCAGGAAACAATAGATGTGTTGGCAAGGATGCAGAGAAAGGGAACCTTCTTACACTGTTGGAGTGAATGCAAACTGGTGTAACCACTCTGAAAAACAGTATGGGGATTCCTCAAAAAGTTAAAACACCACTGCCCAATGACTTAGCAATTGCACCACTAGGTATTTACTCAAAATGTACAAAAATACTAATTCAAAGGGATAAGTGAAGCTTATAGAATCATTGTCAACAACAGACAAATTGTGGAAAGAGCCCAAGAATCCATTACTGATTAATGGATAAAAATGTGATAAATATAAACACTAGAAAATTACTCAGCCATAAAAAACGAATGAAATCTTGACATTTGCAACCTGTGGATGGAGCAAGAGTATATGATGCTAATCGAAACAAGTCAGAGAAAAGCAAATGCCATATAATTTCACTCATATGTGGAATTTATGAAACAAAATGGTCATAGGAGAGGCAAACTAAAAAATAGGCTCTTAAGCATAGAGAACAAACTGAGGGCTGCTGGAAGGGACCTGGGTGGAAGATGTGCTAGATGGGTGATGGGTATTAAGGAGGTTACTTTTTGTGATGAGCACTGGGCATTATATAAGTGATGAATCACTAAATTCTAAACCTGAAACTGATGCTACATTATATGTTAACTAACCAGAATTTAAATAATAATTTGAATCATTAAAATAAAATGAAAACAAGTCCCCAAAGGGCATTAACTAGTAAACCAGATCAAATTGTATTAAATATATTAATTGGACATTATGAACATCAAAATTAAATTGAAATAATGTATTTCATTAATAAGTGGGAAATACAGCATTGTAAATTAATTTACAAAACAGTATATATAAAACAAATGTATATGAACATATACATATATGCAGGTACACATTAAAAACAGGACATGTGCATATGATTTATATCTGGTAATAAAACTATATGCTTATTATTATTTATTTTGTCTATCTATTCTTTACTATAAGTTACTGATTTTTAAAAATTACTTAAAGACCTAAATGCTCTCTTTTATGACATTATGACATTCATGGAGACACTTTATGCAAAAATATCAGTGATAAGGGACAAATATGATCTTTTAACTTTTTACTCTTATAACTTTACTCAAACTGATTACATAAACAGGAATTTCTGTAATTAAACAAATATTCCTAGGAATAAATCTCATTTTTGAAATACAGAACTTCCACGAGAGAACTCAAGCAATTGTACATATACCATAATCTTATAGAAGATAATATTTGACAAGGATCTCCAATTGAGTAATAAGATAGCTTGTTTTAACTGATTTAAGGAAAAGAGTTTACTACAATTTGGAGTGGATTCAGAAATTTCTACAGCTAGTTGTAATCCAACAGATTTAGTGTTGTAAAACCCTTCCATACATACAGAGCTATACATTATTACTACAATTCTATACTGATTTGGAAATCAATACCATAAATATTGGTCCCCATATGTCAATGTAAAAGCAATTGACAAAATTTTTTTTTATGTCCTGCTATACAGAAATACATATTGTGAACAGGGTAAAATACCTATAATGCAAACAAAGGAAGTTTCTTTTCATATTCCCTTTGAATTTAAACATAAGACAAAGATATGATGAAATATATCAGCAATACATACCAAGGCTTTATCCATAATAATTTGTATTTTCAGAATTCTTTTCAATAGCTCAACATCTGAATTTTTCTGTGAAACAGAGGACATCAGTTTCATAAAACATTTTTTAATTCTTACATTTTTTGTAATTATCATCTACATCATATACATATATATATGTATGTATACATATATATATATACATACACAACGAGAGGTAAAGACACATAGAAAAACAGATAGATACAGATTCATCAAGATATGAATAATAGGAAAATAAGATAATAAATGCCCACTGAATAAATAAGCAGGTGAGATTCCAAATACAAATTCTAGGAACAAATCAGAAGCTTTTACCTATATTCTTAACAATTAGAATCCTCAAAAAGTTACCAGAGAAACCATATTTCTTTCCTCTCAAAACCTTCCTCCAAGACCCTCCCCCTGCAACTTTCAAAGTAAATAAATCCCCATCAACTTTCCACCAAATGTTGCCTCTATATTCTCATTATTTCTATTATCTATATTAACTTGTGGTATACTCAATAGAGTGCATTCATTTTAAGAATACAGTTATATGAATTACATTACTAATGTAAATGTCCATGGAATAATCTCCATAAGTAAGATAAAGAAAATTTTCATTATGTTCTTCAGAGTCAATTGCTCACATGGCTGAAGGCAACCAATGATCTGATTTTCTCACCACAGGGTAGAGAATTTCATATAACTGGAATCATATGATGTGTACTTTTATATCTAACTTCTTTCACTCAGCATTCACTTGTGTTGTTGTGATTGTTAGTAATTCACCAGTTCTTATTACTAAGTAGTGCACCATTTTAGGAATACACTACAACTTTTTATACATTTACCTGTTGATGATGTGAAAGGTGAAATAAAATGGGGTCACTTACGTCAAGGGGTTTTAAAATGAAACTGGGAGGTCATTAAGGAGATGGGCCTTATATACCTCCTCACTGGGTGGAACCACAAATTTCTGAAGTGGGTCCAAACTTAAATATTCCAAGGAGTCTGCACAAACATCTGCAAATTGATATAGTAACAAACTTGTTTAGTGATAGCCTTAGCAGCCAATTATGTTTAGCTAAGTTTAGTTTTCTGCAACAACAACAGCCAAAACCTTCGTAAACAATATATGCAAGCATGCCCTTTCATCTTTAAAATAAAACTTTCAAGGGGTGCCCAGTTGGCTCAGTCAGTTAAGCATTTGACTAAGTGTCTGACATCGGCTCAGGTCATGATCTCTTGCAGTTCGTGAGTTTAAGCCCAGCATCAGGATCTGTGATGACAGCTCAGAGTCTGGAGTTTGTTTCGGATTCTGTGACACCCTCTCTCTGTCCCTACCCTGCTCACGCTCTCTCTCTCAAAAATAAACAAACATTTAAAAATTTTAAAATAAAACCTTCACTTTTGTTCCCGAGGGGGACATAATTGGGTTGCTACCCAAATCTGTACTCACCAAATTTCATTTCTGACACCCCCAAATAAATGTTTTTGTTTTATTTCAGCTCTTTTCCCAGCTGACAATGATCATATGGATTATTTAGCCATTGTAGCTATTATAAACAAAACTGCTATAAACATCCATGTACAGATCTTTATGCAGTTAGTTATATCTTTCATTGTTCTTGGTAAATATCTAAAGATGGAATACTTGAGTGATATGATAATTGTGTGTATAAAGCAAATATAAAAGTGCCAGATTGCTTTCTAAAGTAGTTTGATCATTCTGCATTTGCACCCACAATAAAAGTACCAAATGCTCTTCATCTTTGCCTATATTTGATATTGTCTTTTCCATCATTTCCATTTATTGGTCTGTGCTGGTATCTTATTGAGGTTTTAATTTGCAGTTCCCTGATGATTAATGTGAAACAGCTTTTCACATGTTTATGGCTCATTAATTTGGTTTCTCTTAAGTTCCCTACTAGAAATTTTATGTTTTGACATTTAAGTCTATGCGCTAATTCAATTTTTAAAATAAGAGTCAAGGGACACCTGGTTGGCTCAGTCGGTAAAGCATCCAACTTCAGCTCAGGTCATGATCTCATGGTTCGTGGGTTTGAGCCCTGCGTCGGGCTCTGTGCTTACAGCCAGCTCAGAGTCTGGAGCCTGTTTCAGATTCTGTGTCTCTCTCTCTCTGACCCTCTCCTGCTCACACTGTCTCTCTCTCTCTCTCTCTCTCTCTCTTTCAGAAATAATAAAACATCAAAAAACATTTTTAAATAAGAGTCAAGACTCATTTAATTCCATATGGATGTCCAGTCTTCTAGCAGCAGTTATTGGAGATCATTCTTTTACCTTTTAAAGTCCCCAGCACCTTTGTGGCAAGGCAATCTTCCATTAGTGATGGGCCTACTTCTGATCTATTTTGTTCCACTGATCTATACATCTATGCTTACACCAATCATGATATATATCTCTATACCGGGGTCAGCAAACTATACCCCAAGGTAGGGCCACCTGTTTTGTAAAAAATATCTTATTGGAACAAAGCCACACCCATTTGTTTATATATTTTTTATGCTGCTTTCATGCTACAAAGATAGAGTGATGTAGTTACAACAGATCTTATACCTCACAAGCCTTAAATATATACTACCTAGCCCTTTTTTAAAAAAGAGATAATGTAAGTCCTCTATTTTGTTTTTCCTTTTATTTTTTAAATGTTTATTTATTTTTGAGAGAAAGACAGAGAGACAGAGTGTGAGCGGGGGAGGGGCAAAGAGAGATGGAGCCACCGAATCCAAAGCAGGCTCCAGGCTCTGAGCTGTCAGCACAGAGCCCGAGGCAGGGCTCAAACTCAAGAGCCACAAGATCATGGCCTGGGCCAAAGTCAGATGCTTAACCGACTGAGCCACCCAGGAGCCCATATTTTGTTCTTCTTTTTTAAAATTGTGTGACTATTCTAGGATCTTTGCATGTCCTTATGAATTTAAGAACCAGTTTCCACAAAAATGTTTTCTGGAATTTTGATTGGGATCACATTGAATCTACAGATCAACTGGGGGGAAATGAACATCTTAACAACATCAATATATTTGATTCCTGTGATTTTTCTAGACTTTCTTATATTCCTGATAGCTTTGGTAGAGTTTCTTTGTGATCTTCTATATACAGAGTTAGGTCACTAAAAACATAAGGTTATTTTTTCCTTTAAAAAATGTATGCCATTAATAGGGGTGCCTGGGTGGCTCAGTTGGTTGAGCAACCGACTTCAGCTCAGGTCATGATCTCACAGTGCTTTGGGCTCTGTGCTGACAGCCAGCGCAGAGCCTGGAGCTGGTTTCAGATTCTGTACCTCTCTCTCTCTGGCCCTCCCCTGCTCATGCTGTCTCTCTCTCAGAAACAAAAAACATTTAAAAACTTTAAAAAATGTATGCCATTTATTATTATTCTTTTCCTTATTGTATTATCCAGAAACTCTAGTAAAATGTTGACTGAAAGTTGAAAAGGCAAACAGCCTTGAATTATTCCTAATCTTAGGGGCTGTTTTAGTCAGTTCAGGCTATAACATATATACCATAGATGAGGTGGCTTAAACAACAAACACTTATTTCTCACAGTTCTAGAAGCTGGGAAGTTCAAGATCAAGGCACCAACAGAGGTGGCATCTGATGAGAGCACTCTTCTTAGTTTGCAAATGGCCATCTTCCTTTCGTATGCTGACACAGCAAGGCAGAGAGAGATCCATGTCTCTTTTTAATAAAAGCATTAATCCTATCATGAGGGCCTTACACTCACCACCTAACTTAACCCCAATTATTTTTCAAAGGCTTCATCCTCCAAATATGATCCTACTTGGGGTTACAGTTTTAACATGTGAATTTGGGGAACACAGCATGCAGTCACTTAGCATGTCACAGCATTTGCACACAGCGTGCAAAACATTAAATCACTTAGCATTCATTATGTTAGGTAGATACTTATAGATGTTCTTTATCAGATTAAAGGAGTTTTCAATTCCTAGGTTTTATGATGAATGGATATTGAATTTTGTCAAATGATTTTTCTGGAACTACTGATATGGGTTTCTACATAAAAATGATAAACTGTTTTATTTAAATCCTATTTTCCTGCACTGGTTTGAGTAATAATGCCTCAAAGTCCCATAGATATTATAGTTAGAATTTTTGAAAATAAGAATGTCTTTATACCATAATAGCAACTTGACTGGGTAAAAAAACTTTGGGATTGTATATCTCCTAAGGAAGCCATTCTCTACATCTCGTATATAGACATTATTGACTATCTTATAGCACTTAATTTTGGCAAAGGCTAAAACAAGTCTGAGTTTTTCCACATTTGTGGGTGACTTTCTTTGATGTCAATAGTAGAATTATTCATTATTTATATAGTCCAAAATAATAACTACATTACATTTTGGTGGTGTCAGTTTTTAACAGGGTTTCCTGAGAAAATTTTCAAATTCAGAACTCTTCTATTAAACAAAGTTTTATTCTTTACTAATTTGGAATACTTTAGGTGCTATTTAATTCATGAATGAGTTTTAGTTACCTTGAATTTCTATTAGCAGTCTTTCATATTCATACTCCATTAGCCAATATTCCAAAGAAAAACAGAGTAGGATGTTTGTATATATAGACCTTTATTATAATTTATTATACTTAGATTTATTAAAAGGAATTGGCTCACTTAACTATAGAGGTTGGCAAGTCCAAAATCTACAGAATGGGCCAGTAGACTGGAAATCCAGGGAGAGCTGATGGTACATTTCCAGTCTGAAAACAGTTGGCTGGATGATTCTGTGGGAAGGTCCATCCTTTTGTCCTATTCAGGACATCAACTGATTGGATGAGGTCCATCCAAATATAGAGGGCATTTATGCTTTGCTCAAAGTACACTGAGTTAGATGTTAATCTTATTCAAAAACACCCTTGCAGAAATACCCATAAAACTTGACCAACTATGTGATCAATATATCCCAGCCAACCTGACCATCACTCATTCTTAAGTTTTTCTATACCATTGTTTTTATATAATTGCTTTCTATTCTTTTAAACCTGACTATAATATCACATATTGGGGTTTACCACAGTATCTAT